CTTCAAACTCCCAAGTAGCTGGGATTATAGGCCTGTACAATGAGCTGGTTTAGAGGTAGTACTGCAATCAGAGAGAGCCGATTTCAAAAGTCATCTTCAAGCAGTGACCTCAAGCAAAGGCTGGAATCCTGTGTGTTAAGTAGGCTGAGAGCCCTCCAGGCAGCAGAAACAGCAAGACCAGAACGGGGACTCAGGAGTGAATGCGTGCAGAATGTTTGGGAACTAGACTGGAGGTCAGGCTGCTTGAGTCAAATAGGGGAGGAAGGGAGGGAGGGAGGGAGGGAGGCAGGGAGGCAGGGAGGCAGGGAGGCAGGGAGGCAGGGAGGCAGGGAGGCAGGGAGGCAGGGAGGGATGCAGGGAGAGGGAGTAGGAGGGACAGAGAGAGGGAGGGAGGTAGGGTGAGCCTTTTTAGAGATGCCTGCCTGATCTGAGATTTATGGTTTATTCTGTCTGATTGCCAGATTAATTGCCTCAGAGGCTGTCTCTTAGTTGTAAAAATGTCTCCCATGGGGCTAGGGGTATAGATCAGTGCCAGAGTGCTTGCTCTCCATGCCCAGGGCCTTGGGTTCAAAACCTGGTACTTTTTACTCTTATTTAGTCTTAATTTGTGTGTGGTGTGTGTGTGTGTGCATATGCTTGTGTGGCGTGTGTGTATGTGTGTCTTGTGTGTGTATGTGTGTGTGGTGTGTGTGTATGTGTGTGTCTATTTGTGTGTGGCGTGTGGGGTGTGTGTGTGTGTGTGTGGTGTGTGTGTATGTGTGTGTCTATTTGTGTGTGGCGTGTGGTGTGTGTGTGTGTGTGTGTGTGTGTGTGTGTCCAAAAGCCTTGGAACTGGTTCTCCTGCTGCAGGTTCAGGCCTGGAACTCAAGTTCAGGCTTGGGAAATACCTTCTGTTTCGGAGCGGTCGCATCGGACTTAACATTTTTAACAGTGAAACTGTAAAGTAATAAACCAGTTCCTGAACAAACATCCAGATTGGCTTCCAGGTCTTTGAAGTACTAATTCTGATATTTAGGCCTTCAACTTTATGGCAAATACAAGTTTAGCAAGCTTTAAAAAAATACTCTGAGTGTGTGAGCCAGTAAATTCTACTAGAGCACAAACATTATCTCATTTACTCTTGCATTCTCTCTACCTTGTCCAGTGTCTCCCATATCATTAACTGGTATGCAAAAGAATTTTCTAACTAAGTCACCATGTACTGTTATATTCAAGAACAGTCCTTAGCTGCCAGGGGTTTCTACCCCAAAGCCAAGGACCTGTCTGCATGGCTCACCTCCAGGCTGTGGTGGTGGTAGTGGAGGGGGGGGGATGGAAATGACGACAGAAGGAAATACGACTTTGAAGAGGCCTGCTACTTAGCTTCCACCTCCCTGCAAGAGAGAAGAGATGCTACTCCTAAGGTCCAGTCAACGGGGAGCAGTTTCAGGAAAATACAAGGATACTTGGACAGCATCTCCCAAAGACTGAGAGAATCCAGGGCTTTACTGAGATATCCAAGTTCCTAGGAAAGAGAGAAGATTTTTGTGGGCTCAGAAAACACTGTGGATAAAGCTTCATTTTGTACTAATGTAGATCTGTAAGTGTACCCACTTTCCCCAGAGAAAAAGTGTACTGAAGTCAGGCATTTGTTTTGATATATACCAAAAAAAAAAATAATAAATAAATAAATAAAGGTGGTTTAATGGCTAGACAGAGGTAAAGCTTGATGGACAGCCATAGAATAAGAAAGTAACAAAAATGCCCCAGAGTTTGGTGGGAGGGAGTTCTGCCCAAAGCTGCTTAAAGAGGGTTCCACCTCAAAAAGGCTGCCCGCCTGAGTCCCTCGGGCATCAGTTGAGAGGATCGATTCCCAAGAAGCTTATGACCTTCGTCTCTAAATACTTACCGAGCACTTGTAAGATCCTGGGCATTGGTATAGATGGTGAAGACACTGCGGTGTGTGAGGGAAACACTTGATAGAAATAGAGTTTTAAATGAAGACAATGAGAGTGTTTTATATCTTTATAAAGATTCATTTACAATGGTGTATGCATTTGTTAAAACTAGATTTGGTTGCAACTTCATCTCTTTTGTTGTAAAATTTACATCTGATGACATGCACACATCTTTAAAATATGTTAGTTTAGTATTTTTAATTAAAACACCCTCTTCATACATTTTGGTCATGTTTTCCCCTCCCCTAACTCCTCCCCTATCCTTCCCACTTCCCTGAACATTCAACTTTATGTTCTCCATCTCTCCTTCAAAGAAAAAAAAGAGACAAACACATACACCAAAACAAACCAACCAAGAAACAAACAAAAACCCACAAAGGAAAAATCAAAACAAATAAGCAAAAAAAGATAAAACAAAAGAAAATGAAACAAAAAGCTCAAAAATATATCACTGAGTTTGTTTTGTGTTGGCATGCACCCCAGGCATGCAGAAATCTTAAATATGTTTTTACACTGCATTCTATTTCAAGGAGAAAACAAAAGCTATTAAGACATATCCCTTTAACTCTGGGTACCAAACTTACCATAACTGTAACTGTAGCTGTTATATATCTCTTCTTCCTTTCCTTATCACAGGGACTGTCTCTACTCCATAGGAATCCAATTTCTTCCAGGGGTTTGTATATCCTGCAACCAACGAAACTCCTTGAAGGGCTCTCTCTCTCTCTCTCTCTCTCTCTCTCTCTCTCTCTCTCTCTCTCTCTCTCTCTCTCTCTATCTCTCTCTCCTGTGTGCGTGAGGGCATTTGTGAATGAGTGTGTGTGTGTGTGTGTGTGTGTGTGTATGTGTGTGTGCATGCGTATGTGTTTGTGTTGATGCCCTGCTAGGGCTTGAACCCAGGCCCTTGTGCATGCTAGGCATGCAGCCTACACCGAACTATATCCTTAGCAACCCCCTCCCCCCTTTATTCTTTATTTTGAGCTAGACTGTAAGTTCTAGGCTAGCCTTTGACTCACTATCTCGTCCAGGCAGCCCCCGAGCTTGCATTCTCCCTACCAAGCAGCTAGAACAACAACCTCTTCTTCATTACAGTGCTTGCTTGATCTTTAGAGAATTTGTTCTTTCAGAGCCTCTGGTTTCAGTCCCCATTCCTACTGGATTTCTTTGTCAAGATCCTTTTCCTTTGGAATTACTTGCTGTGTGTGTGTCTTGCCCATTAGACAAACATGCCCTTTGCCCTCCCCACGTCTCGTTAACTGTTGTACCTCCAGTGATTAACACTGTACTTGACATGCTGACTATGTTAACACTTTTGGCTAAATAAAATAACTCGTTTGTATTACCTGTAAAATAGTTCTTTAGATTTCTTCGTTTTCTTTATAGATTTAATATTTTTTAATAGCCATAGTCATCCATTTTGGGATTCCATTAAATTAATATGACATGGTGATACTTCTTGTTTCTAGAATTCTTATAATTTATATAAATATTGGATTTAGGAGATTCTCAACCAGAGCAATTTCAGTCATAAAAATCGCATAATATGGGAAAATATTTGGAGATTCTATATTTAAATTTCCTCTTACAGATCCCCTCTTACAGAGGGGAAAGCCTCAAATACTATATAGTACGTTTCTGACTTTTTACTGAGATGGGGGTGTCTTGCTGCTAAAGACCACCAGAAGGGACACGGTTCATTTCATCTTTCTGTAGGAACGGAGGATGAACATCTGCTAGCTTATGTAACAACCTTGTATAAATAGCTTCAGTTTGTGGAATAACCTTAAATTGCTTCTGCACTCACTGAATCCTGAACAGGAGTGTGTAATAGACTCTAAACGGTCTAACATTACACGGCTTGTACATTTCTAGCACAAGTGTGTGTGCGATTTAAATAAAAGTGTGACTATGGCAGAGGAGTAAAACCAAATGCATGAAAGTCTCCATGCACAGGCAGAAATGTTTCCATCCTGCTGTGTGCACACTAGCCTTCATATGTCTTGTTGGCATAACACAGCCTCGTTAGGTTGGGAAAAGTACAGCATCCACACTAGCACACTTAGGACCTTCATAGACCAGTCCCTTCTTGGAGGCTTCAAGTCAAACCAGACTAAAAAGCCGGACTAGCCAAAAAGGCAGTTTCCAGGCTTGACTCACATGAAGCGTGATGACAAAGCAAATTTCTTAGACTTCTCTTTCCCTCTTCCAGACATTGATCCCTTCACCAGTGACCTAACAGGAGTCAACCCTACACTCTTTCTTCACTGAAGTATACATAATTCAGCCGATTCACCTTATCAAGCCAGAACTCCTCTGGAGAGCTTGTGTGTGCTGGAGGCTGTGCCTAACTCCCCAGAGGGAATCTAACAGTAGCGTCCAGTTTCAAGGCTGGCTCCGTCTTTAAGGAGTTGATGATCTGAAGATTAAAGGAACAATCCATAAGCATTGGGGGAGGGCAGCAGAATAGATAACCGCTTCTTGGATAGTTATGTAGATTCTGGGTACAAACAGGGTTTGAGGTGGGCAAAATCAACCTGGAATTGAGGCTAGACGTTGAGTCTGAACCTGAACAATACATTAATTAGTCATTATTTACGGAGCTTTAAAACAGGGTTTCTTTCCCATGGTAACTCTGTGTATGCAATTTATGTGTGCACTTTTCTGAGGGCAAGATTGTTTTCATTCGTTTAAGAGTCCTGGCAGGATCACGTGACTTTCGTGCAGCTACAAGCTCTTCCAACATCCCGAGTCAGTTTTGGCTCCTGAAGAGACTCGGAGGTCCCAGCAAACTGAACAGAGTCGTCCCGGGTTCCAGGAGGCCCAACTCTCCTAGTGGAACAGTCCTGGGAGGAGTGCAACTCGAGGCTCCCAACTCGGCTGTGCCCCTAGCCTTGGTCGTCTTCCAGCCGCCCCCCGTCGGGGTTGCTCCCCGGCCGTCCCCGCCCCTGCGCACCTCCATTTCCTACTGCGCCTCCGCCCTTTCGGCCCTGCTCGGCTTCCGTCCCAGATGATCCCTCCCCGGGGCGGCCACCGCCTCCACCGCCGCGAGCTGGAGCCGCCTCCCGGGCCAGTGGCGTAGCCGAGTCGGCGTCCGGCCGGCTGTGCGGAGAGGACGGGACCCGGCGGCACCGAGCGGGGGCCATGGAGAAAGCGGCCCGCGGCTCCGCGTACACCGACTAGAGCCGGCGTCCGCCGCCGGCGCCATGGACCGAGCGCCGGCCGAGCAGGTACGCGAGTGCCCGGGCTGTTCCCGGGCCTCCGGGCGGGCCAGGCCGTCTCGGTCGGAAGGCCCGGGGAGGTGGACCGGAGTCGGTCTGTGCTCAGCGGCGACAAGCGTTGCCCTTGCTACGGTCTGGAGTGTATTCCTTTTATGAAGAGACTTCCGCGGCTCCCTCCGTGTTTTCCTAGCTAGTTATTCTGCAAATAATTACCCTTTTTAAATGGAGCAAGAGTTCATTTTTGAGTCCGTTTTCGTACTAGCACGGTAGTTCCGTTAATAGTCTCTTTAGTTTTTGATTGCATCGAATTCTTGCTGGTAAGTGCTGGGAGGAAGGGCTAGTGACAATGTGAAAAATAACTTAAAAAAATAGTGTCATGCTTCCTCCTCCCCTCAGTATCTTACAGCTTCTCTTAAAGAGACTTAATTTGATTCCGATTTCTGTTTACTGGCGAATCTCCTCTTCCCAAGCCTTGTTCAGCTAGTCACGTAGTTGAAGGGAGAAGAAACGCTAGTGACTTGCCTGTAAGTTCTGCAAATAGTTAATTAACTCGAATAAACGAGACGCCATCTCCCAAATTCCTGTATATGTTTGTGTGTAGTTAATGACAGTTTTGATTTTGAATCACACTCTTTTCAAACGAAAACACAGCTTTCTAGTTTTGTAGGCTTTGTCGATTCTGTTTTTGAGACTTGCCCTGTTGTCCATCCTATCCCAGATCTCCTAGGGGCGATCTTCCTGCCACAGCACTTTCCCCAGGGCCTTGCCACACGGACTTGAATTTAAAAAGGAAAGACAAGCTTCGTGAGAATACAAGTCTGTGTTTATTAAGGAGCGCACAGTATCAGGAAAATTGGTGCCGGGATTCTTGGTACATACACAGAAGTATTCTGTTACAGCTTATTGTAAATTTAATCAAGGCATTATTTTTTGAAAGTAATTCCGAAAAAAAATCAGAGATTTCAAACTTGGACAAAAGGAAAGGACATTTCCTTGCATGTGGGTCTCTGATGAGAGGGTGGACGTGCTGATCCTTCGTGGACACGCAAGAGCTAGTAATGCATATGTATGCTCACCGCCCCTTTCATCTTGAGGAAATATAATTACCTATTTCGATGGTAACATTTAGCATAGCTCTCGACATGTGATTATCCCGAGAGCAAGTGCACTGGCTGTTTAGAGAGCATCCTCCTCTGTCATCCCACAAAAACACCATCCACTAAACCTCTGAAAATCCAAGAGCTGGAAGAAAGCCGTGCAAAATTCTTTTCTCTCGAAAGCTTTTTTCTCTCTACCTCTTGCCTCAGCCTAGCCTGTAGTGAGAACTACTGAAGAGCATTTAGATGGGGAAGTGTCAAATTCCCATCATCCTCCAAATGTTTGGGTTTTTTCTTTTAAAACCATTGTGGTTTATATTCAGAATTTCTGAAAACGCCTACAGCGTTAGTACTTAGTTTACATAAGTTAGTTTTTTGTTTTTATTTTTTAATTGTACTCAGTAATAGACGTGTTGCATTTCAAGTTAACCTAATTAATAAATCCTTGGAGGATTGCACAAGGGTAACTTAAATCTAAACACTTGTGTCTGAAGGCATTCATGCCGTAGACTTTTAAAATTGCCGTTTGCACAAGCTCATTTTGTGAAAAGGTAAGCCTTGTTTGTATATGTTCTAAGAAGTAAGCCATTGGTAATTAGTGCTAGATGTTTCATCCTAATTGTAATAACAACTGAAGTCATCTTACAACCGGAAGAGCCTCTCAGGAGTACTCTCTCTTAAGTCAAAACAAGTAGCTCGATTTTAACTGCCAGAGTTAGCTGTTACAAGAGCAGTTATACTTGGCACGATGCATTTTCGTGTGTGTGTGTGTGTGTGTGTGTGTGTGTCTATGTGTGCGTTAGGGGGTTGGGGAAGTAAATTGCATAGTGTGCATATAGAGGTCAGAGGTCAGGATTGGTCAGATAATCTCCCTCAGTTGCTCTTCACCTTACTTTCTGTGACACGTCTTCCTAAACCCAGAGCTCACTGTTGCAGCTAGATTGGCTGCTCAGCAAGCCCAAGGATCCTCCTGTGTTTGCCGGTCAGCACTGGGATCACAGGCTCCTGTCTGCACTAGGTTTTCCCTGAGTCTGGGGATCTAAACTCAAGTCCTCATTCTCTTCCTACAAGCACTTTAGGGACCAGGCCATGGCCTCTTTTATAATAATAATAATAATAATAATAATAATAATAATAATAATAATAATAATAATAGTGTAAATCTTGTGTAAAGGGATGTGAAGAATAAATCATGGGATTCATTTGTTTATAAAGATTCAGAGTCTATTTTTAGGAAATCTAGGAATGTTTTGGAGCGAGCGTAAGAGTGACAGGACACTTGAAGTTGCAGGCTCTTGTATTGTCTCAGTACTCTAGTCATCTTTAGTACATTAGTACAGTCTTCTAAAAGGATCTATAAAAATCCCTGCTTATTCGCCTCTTTCACGCCTAAAACAAGTGCCGTGAATTTGTGTAGTTCTGTCACAGATAAGAATATAAACACAGGCTGGTGAGACGGCTCAGTTGATAAGAGCACTTGCTACCAAGTCTGATGACCTGGGACCCACAGAGAAAGGAAGGAACTAGTTCCTGAAAGCTGTCCTTCCCACACCCCGTATACACACATGAACATAATATAATAAAAGTATACAGTTGTTTTAAGTGTTGAACTAATACCAGCACTCCAAACTAAATGTGTAATCAGTTTTCCACACCTGCAGGCTCCAGAAATAGTTCAGGGGAAAAGCTGAATCTGTACTAAACATGGACAGGCTTGAGTGCTTATTATAAGAGATAGTACGTACACAGCCCTAGACTCTGGTAGTTGTAAGTAGTAGAGACACAGGTAAAGAACACACCGGAGGGCAGGAGTGGCCTGTGTAAATACCACTCCCCCTCCAGCAGCTAAGCATCCATGCCAGGTCTATAGTGAAGGTCAGGTAACCTGTCCTGGCACTGAGGGACAACTGTATTTTATGTGTTCCTATAAAACCTTTATTATATAGCCACACAACTGATGTTTTTATAGGAAGTTCACAAATATACTGTGTGTGCGCGCGCTTGCATATGTATACACAAACATTCACACAACATGCGTATTTTTGACTTTTTTTTGACACAGAGTTTCTCTGTGTATCTTTGGCTGTCCTGAAACTCACTCTGTAGACCAGGCTGGCCTTGAACTCACTGAGATCCTCCCAAGTGCTTGGATTAAAGGCAAGTGCCACCACTGCCAGGCTAAATAATATTCTTAGGGAGTGTGTTCATTTAGAGAAAACATTTGGAAATTTAAAAAGGTATTTTCAAGTCTTTATGTCAAAAACAAAATCTGAAAAAAAACCCAGTGGAATGACATGTCATTAGGAAAATATTAACTAAATATCAAAGGTCAAAGACAAAAACTAGAATGCTAGGCTGTTAGGAAAGTATAACCACATATCACAGGTGGAACCTGTGTAGTTCTACTGAAGTGCTTTGAGACAGATGTGCAGTCTTGAATTCTCCATGTGTTACAAAGTTTAAAAGGAAAATAAAATTATCCACCCAAGGGTAGACATGTGGGGAGAAACTTTAAATAAAGCAAGAAAGAAAATAATGTAAAAGCAGGAGCTAATAAATTAGATATATGAAAATTAATATTACACGTAAAATGGTGACTGCAGGTTTTCCTAGTCCCGTGGAAGAGTGTGGGTCAGGAGGTGAGTGGTCACTCTGTAAGTCCCTGCTGTTTTCCTCCGTGTGCTCCGGAGTCTTGAGCACTGATGGCTGCAGTCTGTCTTGGCCACCAGGTGTCTGCTTCATTTATGTCCCCTGGAAGGCACTTATTTTATCTGTATGGGGGTGTGTAAAGCACCTTAATGTCGAATGCATTTCACCTTAACATAGAATGTGGAGGTTTCCTCCGTCCCTTCTGGGGGTGTGCAGCACACACTCCCAAGTTTCACTGTGGGAGAATGTCTCATTATGTTCTCTTCAGTTTTGATTTTAGGTGGGTGTCACTTTTCTGTTGCTTAATCTGGGAGATTATTTGCATTCTCCTGGAGCTTCTCTGAGGAGTTCAGAATGCATTCTCTGCTACGATGTGCTTTTGAGTGCTCTGTGCCTATGTCCTGCTCATCTTGGGGCGATGGCTTCCAGAGCTTGTGCCGGTGTGGTGATCATCTAGACTCTGTAATCCCAGAGTGGTTACCAATGAGCTCTCTTAAGGAGACTTTACCCTTTTATGTTATGATAACATCTTTGCTTTTCTAGATTATTTGTATAAATGTCATCATTGGCATTTGCTTTAATATGTACAAAATTCAAAATGAGTGAAATGCATAAGTATTTTCACAGACAGAATTAGATTTTTCATTAATTTAGGAAATTGTGAAATATCTTATGAAAGATCGTTTTGCCACTGAGTTGGGTTTTTGAAGCAGACAGTAACACAGCAGTGGTTATACTGTACTGTTACTTTATGTCTTTTATGTATATGATTATTTTATGTATATGATTGTTTTGGCTGCATGCGTGTGTGTGTGCGCATGTCAATGCCTGGTTCCTGTGGGGACCAGAAGAGGGCATTGGATCCCTCAGAGCTGGAGTTAGGCAAGCATCCATGTAGGTGCTGAGAATCCAGTCTGGGTCTTCTAGAAGAGCAGTCAATGGTCTTTAACTGCAGAGCCATCTCTCCAGCCGTATTTACATTTTCTGTACAGTAAGGTACTAGTTCCTGTCTATAAAATTTGGTTTCTCAAAGTACAGATTATGAGGGGCTGGAGAGATGGCTTGGTGGTTAAGAGCTCAGAGGACTTGTTAGCACCCACATAGGTTGCGCCCAGCTACCTGTAACTCCAGCTGCACAGGACCTAGCCGCACATACCCTCTTACTTCACTTACCACACATAACCGCATATAGTCGCGCATACATATAATTAAAAATGAAAGAACCCTTTAAGATATGACTGTACAGATATATAGATCATGAGCTAGACATGGTGGTGCATACCTAGGAGACGGTGAGTCAGGAGGGTCATGAGTTCAGACTAGCCTAGAAATAGTGAGACATTTTAAAAAATGGCAATAAAGATTAGTGAATAAAACATGGAAATTCAAACTGAGGAATAATGTTATATAAAGAAATTAGTCTAATTTTTCTAATATTTGATTACTAATACTAAAAATTGACAAGATTTATATTTTGACATTTGAATTTTAAAGGATTATTTGCACTCAGCACTGCTTTGGGGGCTGTTGTTTAGATGGATGGACAATAATTGAAGGCTTCAAAGTCACAATGAGCAACTTCAGAGAAGATATAAAGTTGAAACTGTAGGGAAAGCTTGTCCATCTGTTCCTTCTGGTGACATCTTCTGCCCATGCAGCTGTTGACCACAGTGGCTTCTCTCTCTCACTTTGCTAAAAACAAAGGATCATTTCAATGTTTGTGAATTTTATTGTTGAACGTTGGTATTTAGAATTGCACTTAGAATAGAAACCAGTACAAGCCTTAATCTTCAAGGATGCATTCATGCACATGTGTGCCTGTGTGTGTGTACGCACATGTGTGTGCCTGTGTGTGTGTGCACATGTGTGTGCCTGTGTGTACACATCAGCTTAAGTAGTCACATGTTCTGAACAAGTTACCTGGGGCTGTAACACATGTTTATGTAAAATACAAATTAAGCTGTGTAGAGAAGTTTGTTGTAACTTTTGATCTGTACAAGAATTTGAATTTGTTGCCAAAGTCGTAGATTAGGTTGTTTTGATTTTGATCAGTTTTTATTTGGGGGAACATAGGAGAAGAGTCAAGAAAAGTGTTATTAAAAACTGTTAATAGTTAATTACTGTGACTCTTTTTTTCATTGTATTCATATTCCTTACCTTATAAAAAACTAAAAGGTATTAGTCTAGATCTTATAGTTCTTCAGAGTTCTTCCATGTTCAGAAGGACTCTGATTTATAGAAAAATCTTATAAATTACATTTTAGTGTAATTAAAATAGTATTTTCCCCGCTTTTGCGCATGTGCATAAACTATATAAAACATGTTTTTATTATCTGCATTGTTGGAAGTCAGCCTCTTTTTCCAATTAATCATTTATTGGCATATTGTATATCAGTTTTCAGTTCTAATGAGTGGCAGAGTGAGAATTGCCATCTCCCTAACACTTGAAGGTGTTTTGCCAGAGTTGTATTTCAGGAAACCATCCGTAGTTCACAAGTAGGTGTTCTCGCCCCTTCAGCTTTGGCTGATGAATAGTGTGAATGTCGAGTCCACAGTTCAGTGGGCAGGGAGGGGACAGAGTTACTAGATTGTGCTGTGCTGATCTGTCTCCTTCCTCTGGTAACAAGCATTTCTCGTGTATACCCCGGACTGTTGGTGGAGCAGTCGGTTTTTCTGAGTAAAAGCTGGCCATTAAATTTTATCTTTTAATTTTCATGCATTTTTATTACTTTTGTAAGAAAATAGACCTGTGTTTTTATGGGAACTTTTTATTAAATATCACCTTAATGACTTTAGTAGAAAAATGTCCTGGTTAGGACTACTTTGGTTTGCTTTTTGTTTGTTTTGTTCTTTTCTTTTTCTTTTCTTTTCTTTTCTTTTCTTTTCTTTTCTTTTCTTTTCTTTTCTTTTCTTTTTTGAGACACGATTTTTCTGTGTAGCCTTGGCTATCCTGGAACTCATTCTGTAGACTAGGGTGGCCTCTGACTCACAGAGATCCACCTACATCTGCCTCCCAAGTGCTGGGATTAAAGGTGTGTGCCACCATTGCCAGCTAGGACTTGTTTTTTTTTTAAGTAATTGTTTTCAGTGGTTGAAATGTTGACTTGCATTTCACCAACTTTGTTTTAATAAAAAGATATTAAGTACTTTTTAGATTATAAATTTACATGGTTAACAGTCTGCTTTTGAAGACTACTGTAGATTGTTTGTTTTAAATTCTCTTTTTGTTTTTGAGGCACAGTCTCTAGCTCGGGTTGGCATAGAGTTAACTCTGTAGTAGAGGACTGATGACTTGGAACTTGAGATCTTCCTGTCTTTCTGCCTCTCAAGTGCTGGGGTTCCAAACGTGCACCACCATGTCTGATTTATGTGGTGCTGGGTTTTGTGCATGCTAGGCAAGTACTCTACTAATTGGGTTAGAACCCCAGTTGCTCCCTGCCCCCTTCCTGGGAGATAGGGTCTTGTTATACCCGGCTGACCTGGACTCCCTATTAGACCAGGCTGGTCTCAGGCTCTTGGCAGTCCTCCTGGTTCAGCCTTCCGAGGGCTAGGATTACAGGAATGAGCCACGGTGCCACCTTCTATAGCTATTTTCATGTTTCAGAAACTTAAATTTGTTAAATATAATGTGCAGAAAATTACTAAAGTCAACATACAGTTTGATAACATGTTGGACGGCTTGTAGGTTCCTCTAAGACACAGAACTTCCCAGGCACCCCAAGCTCCCCAGGTGCCTCTCCCCAGTTGCAGCACCCCCCCCCTTTCCTAAGAGCATGTTCCTGCCCTGATAGTTACAGAGCTCATTTTCTTAATATTTCTTCATGTGGATATTTTCTCCAAGGGTAATTTTTATATGGCTTTTAATTTTCTGGAACTGTATCATAAGAAAGATACTGAGGGAAGTCTGTGTTAGGGTCACATTAGCATTTGGGTACCTACTGGGAGAAGTTTCTCTCACTTTTTTTCATTTTTGTTTAACTATGAAACAGAATTTTCTCCTTATGTTTTTGACTCATCTTAGACATTTCATTGTAATTTAATGATACAAAACTTAATCTCCTGCAATGAACAGAAATAGACTAGTTTTTCAGTTACTCGAAGAAATGTAATTGTTGTCAGAGCTTGTGCCGAATGACTTTTCCCTCTCACAAAATTAGCAGAAAATACCATTGTGTTTAAGGAGCTGGATTTCTTACTACTACTGTACTTTTCGATCTGAGGTGTGACTTCCTTAGAGTCTTGATTATTTTAGCAGCTTGATTGCATAAGAAATGATTTCACTGCAATATTGTGACTTGTGCTAACTCCTTTGTTGTTTTCCTGGTTATTCACTTACTTGAAGTCGACACTGCCATTCATTCTGTGTGTGCTGTGAAGACTGTTGGTGGAGACTCTTTGTAAGCACCAAGCTTGTTTTGATTGTTCATGTGTAACCCATGCACTCTGTTTTCTCTTTGAAGAATGTCAAGCTTTCCGCTGAAGTAGAGCCATTTATTCCCCAGAAGAAAAATCCGGACACATTTGTGCTCCCTATGGCTCTCCCAAATGATAATGGAAGTGTTTCTGGTGTTGAAGCAACGCCAATCCCCAGTTATCTGATTACCTGTTATCCATTTGTCCAGGAAAACCAGTCCAATAGGTAATTGCATTATTCCTTTCTTTATTGGTGGGGATATAGAACTTAAACTTAGCAAAGTACACTAATCTTTTTCTTTTGTAATTTTCAAACTTCAATCATTTATTTGTATCTTTTCAGTGTAAGGAAAATATGCAGAAATTTGAAATCTGTCAACATGTATTATTTTCTTATTCTTTCTAAGAGGAAATGCATTTTTCTGAGCATGCCATTGAAATATATCCCTGTATAGTGACCCAAGGGAGATGTGAAATATAAGAAATCTTTTTTTTGAGATTAGATGCTTAATCTCATAACTGCCAGACAATGTCTGGCCCGCGAAGACAATATTAGGGACGGGTGTTGGGGTGCTATGGTTGAGTGTGCGCGTCTGCTGATTTCCCTAATCTAGCAAAGTCCTGGTAGCATCTAGGGTGGGACCTGTGGTAGTTGTGGTATGCTTGCTGATCCATCTAGACATCTAATGGTGCCCTCGTTGCTATAGTTCATTGTATTGACAAATAGATGTACTTTCAGCTTGTTTCAAGTTATGTCACATACAGGAAATGCTGTTTCTCAGCACTGTGGGAGAACTCTACAGCTCTGTGCAGCCATCTGTGGGCTGAAGTACCGAGTATCTGCACACCTGTAGCCCATTGTGGCACACTATCGTACCAGGGCACAGTCTTTGTGAAATTCTGGGTGTGTGGTTTATGAGGTCAGCAGACTCCCTTGGGAAATAGTAATGCCCCAGTGAAGGTTCTGAGTTTCTTACTACACACTTTTCAAAGTTAGGCAAACAGTAGGAGCTAAGAACCCTTCTCAGATGAACTTAGACTTCACTGAGAATCTTTGAGTCAGTTGTGTGTGGTGTCACAGAGGGGTAGTTAAGGCAGGAGGATCATGAATTCAAGGTCATCCTTGAAGTCCAGGGTAGCCTAGGCTCCTGAGAACCTTTTTTGTTGTGCTGTCAGATAATGTAGAACATTTTTATAAACTAAACTTAATAATACTAGTTCTTTCTGTAGCAAAATAGCCATGTGCAGTATGAGAAATTTAATTTGCCTTAATGTGAGGTAGTCATTAAGAATTCATGAGCAAGCCATCCTTCAGATTATCCTTTTAAGTAGTTTTAGGATTTTGGTAGTCAGTTTTTTCTTCCGTTTTGCTTTGTCATTGCAAAGGTGAGGAAAAGGACCCCTTATTCCTTAACAGCAATTGTTGGAGAGAGGGTTTCTAAACAAGACAGCATCTTGTGGGTGCTTTGTAGGAACTGTGTATCAGTGAGGTCTTCCTGACTTCCTTGGACATGGGCCTTAAGTTGCCAAGGAGAGTAGCCTGGACGAGACCTGAATTGGCTTAGTGATTAGGGGAAGAGGATGGCTGTGTTGCAGATGCAGAAGCTAGGGGTTTGAGAGGTTTGTAAGTAGTAAAGAATGTGGAATTTGGTAAGCTCTCAGGCTAGATCCCTTTATACTATCACGTCCGTTGCTATAAGTACAGGGCATCTCTTAAAACGGCAGAGACACATGATGGCATTAGTTTTGCCTTTTCCCCTAGAATTATTTTGAAGGCACCGTTCTGTATGTCTTTATTGTTTGTTCTGCTTTTATATTACTCTTGTACTTGTCAACAGATTTTTTTTTCTGTTTGGTTTTACAGACAGTTTCCTTTATATAACAACGATATACGATGGCAGCAGCCCAGCCCGAACCCTACAGGTCCCTACCTTGCCTACCCCATTATATCTGCTCAGCCACCTGTGTCCACAGAGTACACCTATTACCAGCTGATGCCAGCACCCTGTGCCCAAGTTATGGGCTTCTATCACCCTTTTCCTGCACCTTACTCTAGCACCTTCCAGGCTGCAAACACTGTCAATGCTATAACCACAGAATGCACCGAGCGTCCAAACCAGCTGGGACAGGCCTTCTCTTTGTCCAGTCATCGGAGCCGCAATGGTAACAGAGGGCCAGCAGTGTCAAAAGTGAGTGACCGCTTTCTTTGTGTGTAGTTTTAAAATATGATGTGTTGTTAATACTAGTATAGATAATTTACTACTTGTATCTGCTGGTCTTTAATGCTTAATTTGGTACAATATTCATCACTAGTAGAAAGTGTTAAAGGCATATTATTTAAAAAAAAATATTTTTCCTGTGATATTTGTTACCTCTCACCCTTGATTGGTAATGTAAAGTCACCTTTATGATCATTCATAGAGTTTTACATAAACACAGTACACAATTATTGCTAAATTTAATTTTGTTCTAAAACTGCACAGTGATGATGCCAACATTAAATGGATCATGTGGTTGAATGTTAATGTACCTCAAGCTGTTTCAGTCTTCTGAAATCAGCAGGAGAGAGGGAAAGATTGGTGTTAGTGTTTCCTCAGATCCTCAACCTCAGTGTCTGTATTCTGAGTCATTAGCAGGAATAGCACTTTGTCACGTGGGAGAGTAAGAAACAAGTAAGTGGTGAAGCCACTTCTGTTCACGGCCTCGTTTGACTTAAGCTGTAGGTATATATTGAAGATGCAGCGCAGGGCTCCCTGAAGTTTATCCCAGGCTGCTTTTCTACTAAGGGCTTTCTTCGAAGCTATAGGAAATGCCTATTTATAGGCAACACTGTTGAGCTCGTGGAGGACGTTTCTCTTCTTTACTACTATGGAGAAGTATCAGTTTCCCAGATTCCATTAGCTAGCTTCTTAGAAAGAAAGTCTTCACCGCCTTTTGGCATGTTTTTTAAAAATTAAAAACAAATAAGCAGCTGAGATTACTTTGAAGAGATTTTTGCCTTGGTTCATGTGGGTCAAGAGAACTCTTTCAGGGAGTGAAAGGAAATAGGTATAAAAAACAAGATCATAGTAAAGCTTGTAGCTTCCAGATGTTCAAAGGATGGGACTTCTCAGAGCGCCCGCCCAGCAGTTCCAATTCAGGAAGTTGAAGTTAAATTCTTAGCTCTGCTGTGTAAGGAATTGCTGTTGAGGAATAATTATTCTTGTTTTTAAAATTTTAAAGAAATAAATCAGCTTTTTAATAGTTTCTATTTGTACTCCAGAGTAGAAATGTTTTACTCATCTTTGTTATGAGTCTAAATTTAGTGACAGGGTAACTTTTTATGCTTTTATTATCCTTTAAGATAAAAATGTCTGGCCCTTTATATGGCATTATTAAAATCTTGTTAATTGTTAATGACTTAAAAAATAAAAATGAAAGTAAAAGCTAAAATTACCTCAGATTTTACTAATCATGTGTTAATGGTTGTCTAAAAACATGTGTGAAATGTGCTTATGGTGCATTGTTTAGCCTGTGGTGCTTCTTAGTGAATAAGTCCACAAAATCAGCTCAGAACCCGATTTATGGTATGTGTTTAGGTCTTTGTGTAGTGGATATAATGTGTAATTTGTGTTTATTATATTTATTGTTTTTTTTTTTTAACTTAGCCACAGCTTTTACAGCAACATATAAAAAACAAAAGACCACAGGTGAAGAATGTGGCTACTCAGAAAGAAACAAGCTCAGCAGGTCCTGATAGCCGGTCAAAAATTGTGCTTCTGGTAGATGCTTCCCAGCAGACTGGTAAGGAGTGGTCTGTTTATTTACTTGTTTATTCCTGCACACGCGGGTAGGTGTTTGTGTGCTGACTCCAAGTTGATGCTTAGTGTCCCCATTACTTGCCTTTCCTCCCTACATCCTCTGGCTGAACCTGGACCTGGCTGTCTTGGCTAGTCTGTCTAGCTAGTTTGTGTTAGGGATTCTGTCTCTGCCTGTGAACTCAAGACCAGCTCAGCTATATACTGAGAGCCTGTCTCAAAGAATATTGTAAGGACCGGGGAGATGGCTCAGTGCTTAAGAAAACTTACTGCTCTTACAGAGGGTGGGAGAACGGCTCCCAGCAGCCATGCCAGGTGCCTCACAACTGCCTGTAAATCCAGCTCCAGAGTCTGGTACCTCTGGTCTCCAGGAGTGCCTGCACTTACAGGCACATTACTCTCCTGCACTAAATATAAAAATGAATTTTAAAAAATTTGTAAATGTCATAATGAAACTCGTTATTACATATAAGTGATATGTGTTCATAAAAGCTTTTAAAAAGATTTTTAAAATCCCCCAGACAAGGTCTGGATTGACCTAGGTAAGGCAGCTTGTTGCTTTCTGTTATCCAAGTTTTTCTGTTGGATATTTAGTTGTGTGACCTTTTATATGTGCTTAGGTTCTTCAGGAGCAAAAGGGGGATCTGGGAATTAGTTAAAAGCCATCTGTTGATCGTCCAATGCTGTGTGGTTTGTAAGGCTTAAAGCAGTGTGTTTGATACGCTGCCCTGCTTGGAGTAGTTACGGGGAAAGTCATGTGTTCCCAGTCTGTTCCTCCTCACCAGGACTCATTTCTGCATCCTTTTTTAAACCTTAGCAAGGTTCTTAAAAGTACTGTATGGGCCAAGCTTGGTAGCACACACTGTTTTGTTTTTGAGACAGGTTTTCTCCGTGTAGCCCTGCTAACCTGAAACTCACTCTGTAGGCCAGGCTCACATCAAACTCAGAGATCTGCCTGCCTTTGCCTCCCAAGAACTGTTTTTTAAAGGAGAGCGCCATCATGCCTGCTTTTCTTTTCTCTTTCTTTTCTTTTTTCTTTTTTTTCTTTTGTTTTTTAGTGGTGGTGGGGGACACACACTTTTAATCCTAGCACAAGGAGGCAGAGGCAGGCAGGTCTCTTGAGTGTGAGCTTAACCTGGTCACAGAGTAAGTTCTAGGACAGCTGTCATCAAAAGGACAGCTTCCTGAAACATAAAAATTAGGAGTTATGGTTTAAATAGATTGTATATGCTATAAGCATTTTCTTTTTTTAATTTTATGTATATGAGTGACCCGTCTTCATGCACACCAGAAGAGGAAATCAGGTCCCATTCCAGATGGTTTGGGTCACCATGTGATTGCTGGGAATTGAACTCAGGACTTCTGGAAGAACCACCAGTGCTCTTAACAGCTGAGCCATCTCTCCAGCCCTGCTATCACCATTTTCATTCCTTAGTTTGTTTTTAACTTCTGAGGATTACCTGGCAGCAATAAGAAATAAAAATTACTTAGTTTTGTAGAAGTAGGTCTTTCCACTTGTAGGAAATTTTTACTTCTTGTTATGTAATAAGGTGGCTAGAGTCCAAAATGGGAGCTGCAAGGTGGCTCAGCAAGCGAAGGGATTTGTTGTCACACTGAACAGCTTGAGTTCGAGTCCCCGAACCTTCATAGTGATGAAGAGATCCAGCTTCCGCAAGTTGTCCTCAGCCCTGCACTCAGGCCCACACACATACACACACACACACGTAAGATAAATAGATGAAGTGTAAAAACACACTTGTCTGGATACTAGATAACAGGCAAAGGCAGCTGCGTTCCTGTGTGTCTCAAACAAGCAGGTTAAGGTTTACAGCAGCAACAGCAATTTGGAGTTTCTGAAGTCCAGGAGTGTGTCTACTCAAGCTTAGGGGTACATGAGGGGACCCTGAGATTGTTGTGTAAGACCTTAGAAAACTTGATTATCAAACACTGGCGTCTCCACAGTTAGTCTGCAGTTCAGTTGCAATTAAAATCTCAGTAGGAATTTTTGGGGAACTCAGCAAAGTATTCTAAAACAAAGGAGCAGTAATCCGGGAAGGGTTCTCTGTGCATTAAAGCTTAGAATTAGCTATGATGTTCTTGTTTTGTTCCCTTTTTCTTGTTTTTTTCAAGACAGGGTTTATCTGTAGCTTTGGAGCCCGTCCTGGAACTAGCTCTTGTAGACCAGGCTGGCCTTGAACTCACAGAGATCCGCCTGCCTCTGCCTCCCTAGTGCTGGGATTAAAGGCATGCGCCACCACCGCCTGGCTGCTTAATGCTTTTTAAGTTAATTGACTTCCTTCTTTAACAATTCCATTCATATATGCAGAAAATTCTGTTGCCCTCACTCCCATGGTTATCTTCTCCCACCCACCCAGTGTGCCCCATCTTCACCTTACAAATTCCTTCCCACATTGCTGTTTTTCTCCAGGTTTATATTATCAATGTAGTATATAAGAATCGAAAACAACCCAGAAACACATGCATGGAAATGACAAGGATAACATTGGAGGCCCCTAATTTATACCCCATTCAATTGACTGCAGATCGACCCAAGACTTAAATGAGAGAGAAAGCCAGTGAGCAAAGAGAATGCAGACACTCCTTTGTGGCTGCCTGGCTGCAGAGGAAGATCATTTCCAAAATGAAGAATTTTAATTTAAGAAAATAAACTATAATGTTGAATTAGGAGTGGCAGGGCTACGTCCCCGGCACCCGTCTGCCCGCATGGCTAGCTTATGCCCGAAATAATTACACGGAAACTGTATTCTTTCAAACACTGCCTGGCCCGGCTAGATCCAGATTCTTATTGGCTAGCTCTTACATATTGTACTAACCCATTTCTAATATTCTATGTAGCCCACGAGCTGGCTTACCAGGGAGGATCTTAACCTGCGTCTGTCTGGAGCGGGAGAATCATGGCGACTCCCTACTAAGCTTCTTGGGAAAGCTTTTTATTATTTATTTATTTTACTGTGTCTAATGAGAAAAGATTAGTAAGAGTAAGAAAATTGGTGTACTATCCTATCCTTGGAACTTGGGGGTAAGGGAGCTGGAACAATTTTGGCTTTAGGGATCTTTCTTTTGACGCAGTTAATCCATAGGGGGTGTGTCCACATGAAGCTTCCCCTTTAATTATAGTGCAAGAAAAATATCAGAACCTTCCTGGTGTCAGAGGTGACAGTTCATGAATACACGGGGTGCTCCTCCATAGAATATATGAAGCCACCTTGCAGTAAAGTATGAGAACTTGTCGTAACACAATGACATAGTATTAAACAACACAGCTTCAAATTGTATCATCAGTTGTGAGGGAGGGATTGAAGGGAGAGGGCTCAGCAGTTAAGAGCATTGCTGCTTTCCCAAAGGACCTGAGTTCAGGTTCTAATTACCTATGTTAGGGACTCACAAGTGCATGTAACTCCATCTCACACAGGCACATACACAGAAATCAACAAGTAATAAAATCAATTATTTAAAATTATGAACTAATGGAACTATAGAAGAAGGAAAAGTCGTGAATTCAGGTGACTGTAACAAGCGTTTTAGAAATGTCTTTATATTTGTGAAATTAAAATAGACATCTCAGAGGAAAATTTTCAGAAGTCAACCTAAAAGTAAAATTAATCAGAATTGTACAAAAGAAGAACATTAATAGCTAATAACATCGGAAAAGATTCTTGACCTCATTATTAAATGCAAAGTACAAATTAAAACCCATAATAAGCCACCTTTTCTATGCAGCAGATTGGCACAAGTTACAGCTGGGGAGGCAGTGTCAAGTTGCTGTGTGTGTGAATCACTGGGCGTGCTATAATACTGCTGTTGGAATGTAGGTTGTTTTAACCACTTTAAAAACTGGTTTAGAAGCCGGGCAGTGGTGGCGCACGCCTTTAATCCCAGCACTCGGGAGGCAGAGTTCGAGGCCAGCCTGGTCTACAAGAGCTAGTGCCAGGACAGGCTCCAAAGCTACAGAGAAACCCTGTCTCGAAAAACCAAAAAAAAAAAAAAACTGGTTTAGTATAATCATGTTTGAATCTTTGTGTCCTGTACAACTCATTCACGTTTGCCTTACAGAAGCTTCCGTGTGCACACGTTTGCCGTCGTGTCCCAGACTTAGTTTTCATTGAGTTCTTCCTTTGACAGTTTCATGGACACATAACATACATTTTGATTGTTATGCACCTCTGCTTCCAGTCAACAGTGGGGTTGTTTGTTTATTTGGAGCTACTCTAACCACATAGTCGAGGAACTTGGAACTCAGCTCTGCAGACCAGGCTGGCCTTGAACTCACAGAGAAACAGCCAAAGCGTGCTGTGAGTGGTGGAAAGGATAAGTCCATTGGTATGTCCTTGTAAAAGCAGTCTGTACTGCAGCGGCATTAATGAACTGGAGTGCCATGCAGCAGAATCGTAAAGCTGGTGTGGAAGTATCCTAGAGCCCATTTTGTAGACCAGGCTGGCCTCACAGAACTCACAGAGAGCCACCTACTTCTGCCTCCCAACTACTGGGATCAAAGGCCAGCACCATCGCTGCCCAGCTGACCTTTCTTTTAGAAATACAGAAATCTATGGAAAGTCTATGCAGAAGAGGGAGTGAAAACTAAACCTAGGGTAGTGGTAACAGAAGAGGAAGGTAGGCTGGTGGGGCACGTATGGTGACTTTGAAAGACTCGTGATGCTTTCCTTCTTAAGTGGCTGGTGATTTTAGTATTTTATGACACAAATATTTTATTTTCATAATGATGCCATGTTGTATAAATTAGTATTTTATGTGATCTTTTCAAAGAGTCACATATTTCTGTTTTTAGACTGTTACTTAATTTTATTAGAACCTTAGTAATTTAACAGGAATGTATAAATCACATCACAGAGAATTGTCCACTTGTCTTGCCTTGTAGATTTCCCATCAGACATTGCTAATAAGTCTCTCTCAGAGAGCACAGCCACAATGCTCTGGAAAGCCAAAGGCAGGAGGAGGAGAGCATCCCATCCTGCTGCAGAGTCCTCCAGTGAGCAGGGGGCCAGCGAAGCTGACATCGACAGCGACAGTGGCTACTGTAGCCCCAAGCACAATAACCAGCCTGCGGCAGGAGCGCTGCGGAATCCTGATTCTGGGACCGTGAACGTGTGTAATTCTTCACCTTCTTTGACTTTTTGTTTGTTGTTAGTCCTGTTGTCAGTAGTATATTGTATTCTTTGCTGAAACTGAAGGATGCATTTTTTTTCTTTTTAGCAGTCCTTAATGGTATTTGCTATTCATGAAAATATGAAACACTGTTCTAAGTTAGTAATAAATATATTTAATACTAGGTTAAATTATGAAACATTTGCAAAGTATGGCATGGTGACTCTTAACTAGAAATTAACCATCCTTTTTGTTTCATGTTTTTAGCATGCGGAATCATCAGGCTGTACAGGTACTTATTTATTTATTTATTTATTTATTTATTTATTTATTGTTTTTTCGAGACAGAGTTTTTCAATAGCTTTGGGGCCTGTCCCAGAACTAGCTCTGGTAGACCAGGTTGGCCTCAAACTCACAGAGATCTGCCTGCCTCTGCCTCCCGAGTGCTGGGATTAAAGGTGTGCGCCACCACTGCCCTGTCAGGTACTTATTTTTTTGCAGTGTTTTTTTTTTCTGTATTTTCTTCCATTTCAAGTATTCCTTTAGTGTGGCGTTTTTACTAGTGCTATAAACAAAACCTATAAGTCTCCAGTGATTCAAGTTAGTTGAAAGCATATATAGTTTTGCTAAACAAGTTGAGAAAATGTGATCTTGAGCATTCTGCAGGATGATATTTGTTTTACTAAGAATGCACAATTCCATGTCTGTAGGGAGTGACTCAGTTGTTTAGATTTTTTTGCCTCCTTTATAAGAAAATCTAATCTTTAATATCTTTGTATGTTTGCTACAGGTGGTGTCAACTGGCCCAAAGTAACTTGCCAGGCAACCCAGAAAAGACCCTGGATGGAAAAACACCCAGCGTTTTCTAGAGGGGGAAGGCAAACTGAACAAAGAAATAATTCACAGGTACTTTGAGTGAGGCTGGACATTTGATTAGGTATGAGACGGATGTTAAATTTATCATAATAATGGTATAGCAATTAGCAATCACATTATTCTTAAGTTTTAAAGGTGAATAAAGTTATCTAAATGTGAGCTACTGTGTGGTCTGTTGATAAAGCATTAGGACCTGCGTTTGGATCCCCAGCCCTACTTAAAATACTGTCATGCTATAGTGCACATCTATAACTGCAGAGCCCTTGGAAGGCAGCCAGCCTAGCTGAACTGGTGAGCTTAGGTTCAGAGAGAGACTGTGTCTAGAAACAGTAAGGTAAAGAGACGGAGGAAGTTCTATTCATACGATTCTGTAGTAATCGTTATGCTTTGCGATGTCTTTAAAAAAGGTGTTGTCTGCTGAGGAAGGCACCTGAGGCTCTCATCTGAGGAGCAACACAAACACAACATGTGTGCATTTACATGACACAGGGAACTCTCATATCCAAAACTTTTTAAATGCTGTAGCAAATACAGTGTGAACAGTGAAACGACAGTATGTTGAGAGAAGGCGGTGAAAATGTGGGTGTAAACGGTACCGCCTTTCTACTTTGTGTCTGTGACGGTATCATGTTAGAAAACTATACTCCCCACCTGCTCTTTCACCGGCTGTGTCTGTTTCCTTCCATTTCAAAAACTGGAACCTTCTTCTCTTAAAAATGGTTGTTTGAACTTAAGGACTATAGAAGTCTGTAAATGTCTAAACATGTATTTATTTATTTTGTGGGTGTGAGATTAGGATCAATCTCGGGTCATCAGGCTTGCTAGCAAACAACTTTGCCTGCTGAGCCATCTCCTCAGCCATGGGTATTTCAGTGTGACTTACTAACATTCTTCTATGCTGGTGGCATTGTCACATTGGTGACCACCTGGTGCCACAGTGTGGCTCGACTGAGCAGTTTCCTGATAGCCACGCAGAGTGGGGCTGTGCACAGCTCTGCTCTAACAGCAGCTCTGTCTTCCTGTGTTGGTTAGCTATCAAATAGGGAATTGTTTATTGGCCATTATTTCTCCTTTTTATTTTTGATAGACTCTCCAGATTCTTTATGTCTAAGTAAGGAATGAAAGCTATCTTGTAAATATGAATGGACCAAGATAACGAGTTATGTATACCAGTTGCTGCCTACTCTTGGCCTCCCTGAGACCAATACTTCTTCAGATAACTTCTTGACTTAGGCTCTACGTGCTGTTGGACAACCAATAGTATTGCCCCTTCCCTGTGTTTCTGCAAAACCTGGCCATTTTTGGTCCCAGGCTTGTGAGGCAATCTAGCTTTAGCTTTTTTTTTATGATAAAGATTAGACAAAACCTGCAAAATGTTTACTGAGTTTTTCTGTTGAAATTGAAATTGCCAGATTTGCCAGGTTCCTGGTCTTGGTCCTGGCCTGGCTTTTGCTGTTGTTTATTTTGTGACTGCTTCCACTAAAGGAAATATCCCTGAGATGAAAAACATTGTAAAGGCTTTCTTTCTACCTGATAACTTGGGGGCGGGGGGAGAAGCTAAGCAGTAAGTGTATTTTACTTGCTTTGAGAGGGGTCTTCTCTAGCGCTGAGCCTAGCCTGGAACTTGCTGGGCAGGCCCGGTTGCTCTGAACTTGTGACCTCCCCACCTTAAGTTTCCCAGGTGTTGGCATGTGCCACTCCACCTAGTAAAATTGTTTATTTTGTATCTTTCTTCATTCTTAAAGTATTAGAGCCAGATTTTGGCAGTGTGTTGGTCTGACTACTACTGATGTTTTGTTGTCCCAGTAGTTTTCTTATGTAGATACTTTTTTTTCCCCCAAATACCAACTCCTTTTTTAAGTCAAAACATTATGCCCTTTTGCAATTTCTAATTGTTTTCTAGACTTTAAAAGGCTTTTAGAAGGTAAATCCAACAGACCTATATTTTATACTAGTTGTTATTCCGTGTGTGTGTGTGTGTGTGTGTGTGTGTGTTGTAGGTCTCAGATAACTTAGAGGACAGTGCACTCTTCCAGCTTCTCCTGGGTTCCAGGGGTCAGGCACGGGTTAACCAGGCTGCACATGGGTTCCAGGGGTCAGGCACGGGTTAACCAGGCTTCTCCTGGGTTCCAGGAGTCAGGCAGGGGTTAGCCAGGCTGCACAGCTCCTTTAGCTGCTGAGTTCTCTCCCCAGTCCTGTGCTAAGTTTTTATAGTGCAGTGTTTCAAGAAATTTTTATCAGCGACTTAACTTTGATGCATAGTGATCTAGATTTTCAAAGCAGCAAACCACTTTTTTTTTTTTTTCCTACATAGGGTTTCTCTGTGTATCCCTGGCTGTCCAAGAACTCACTCTGTAGACTAAGCTGGCCTCAAACTCACAGAGGTCCCCCTGCCTCACACCCAATGCAGCAAATACTTTTACTCATTGCTTATAGCTAGGACTGGAGAGATGGCTGAGTGGGTAGGCGTGCTTGCTGTGCAGGCTTGAGGACCTAAGATTACGTCTCCATCACCTATGTAAAATGTCAGGTGTGGACATGCTTGCCTGTAACCCTGACACTCTGGGGGCAGAAACAAGAGGATTGCTGCAGCTTACTGGCCACCAGCCTAGCTGTGAGCTCACCGAGAGACCCTGTCTCAAGGGAGTAAGGCTGAGCACTACAAATGGGCGACCCAACTTCTTTGTCTGACCTCTGTACACAGATGCACATGTACCTACCCAAACAAATGTGTATGTTCTACACATGAAGACTAAACATTTAAAATACAAAAAAGAAGAAAGGAAAATCAAGGAGTAAGGGAGGAATGATAGAGTGCTTCAGGATTTTTGATTTCTGTTATGTTTTTTTTAGCTTTTTATCACTATTACAAGACACTTGGGCAAGCCAAATTTACAGAGATAAATGCTTTATTTAATTTCTAGTTTTGGAGATCAGAAGTCCAAACAGCATGATGGAAGCCCTAGTGAAGTCTCCTAGCATGTGATGGGAGTGTTTTAGTGAGGAGAGGGGATGAAACCACGTATAGAAAGTCAGGGAAAGAGACCTAGGGATCAGACTCAGTGTAGATCTTACCAACTGGCCAGCCTGTCCCAGATATCCACCTGGCTCTGCCTCCCAGCAGTGGGGTTAGAAATGCATGCCACCACGCCTGGCTTTTAAATGGATTCTGGCAATCAAACTCAGGTCCTGGTGTACGACAAGCAAGTGCTTAATGCCTGAGCTATTCCCACAGCCCTGGGCCCACCTCCTGAAAGTTCCACACTTCCCAATGCCACCAAGGCCTCCAGGAACCAAGTTCTGAAATAGGAGCACTTGAGGGGGACAATATCCAAAACAATTAGCATGTTAATTCGATTTTCAAAAGGTTTCAGTGTAGTTGAGCATCTCCATGTTTTGAGTTCTGTGCGTTTCTTTTTCTGTGAACTTGTTTGGTCATGTCTCTGTTTACATTTTGACTCTAGAACTATTTCTTTTTACTTTGATTTATTTTGAGACCAGGTCTTGTTATGTAATCTAGGCAAGCCTTGAACTTGAAATCTTCTACCTCAATCTCCCAAGAACTGGAGCTACAAGTATGCCGTCATACCCAGCTTGACTCTTGATCTCTTTCCTCTTTTTTGTCCCTCTGTTTTTGTTTTATTCCTTATACTTCTGTCTTTTGAGGCAGAATCCCACCCTGTAGCCATCCAGCCTGGAACTACCTATGTAGACCAGGCTGTCTTTAAACTTGAGGTGATCCTCCTGCCTCTGCTTCCTGAATGCTAGGACTGCAGACATATGCTACCACCATGTCTGGTTCATATGCTCACTTTCCATCAACAACACTTACTTAGGAGAACTGACAGGAAGCATTCAGTTATCATGAGGTTATTGATTTGTTCAGAAGTTATTGGAATATTTGCTTCTCATGGACCTTGTGGAAACTTAGTTTGAAAGTTTTAAGTTGTTAGCACTTTTTTCCTTTTTTCTTTGTTTGTTCATTTATTGTTGATGACAGGGTCTCTCTGTGTAACCTTGGCTGGCCTGAAACTCACTTTGTAGACCATACTGGCCTCAAATTCACAGAAATCTGTTTGCCTCTGCCTCCTTAGTGTTGGCATCAAAGGTATTAATCACCATTCTTGGCAATCCTGGTACTTTTTGTCTCCACCTATAAGTATCAAGTTGCATTTATTTTTTAAAGAAAAACTGTTAGATATTTTTTACACCACCAAACATACATACTAACAGGTTCATAGCAGCAAGCATGGGAATGGCCAGGCGTAGGTCTGCATGTTGATTTCAGAAACTTTTGTCCTTAATCTCCTGACTGGCTCACGTTGTTTCCTGTTAGGATTTTGAGGTGGGTGTCAACAGAGAGGAACTTCTCATGTCTCTTAATTTCTTCTGAGGGGGCGTTCAACGTCAGCTGACATAGGTTCTTAAGTATCTTGAAGTTCTTAGAATGCTCACCATGCCTTTTCTTTGCCCTCTTACAACGAAATGTTTTGCAGATTTATTAGTAAGATGTCTGAATCTGTGTGTTACTATGAAAAAGCACCGTAGACTTGATGCTTATGAGCAGAAAGGTGTAGTAAACCAAGGTTAAGGTACAGGAAGTTGGCTGTCTGATGAAGAATTATCACTGTTCCCTTAAGGGAAGAGCATTAGAGAGTCCTGGGTCCCTTTTACAGGCTTCATAAATCCCATCCATACTGCTCTGTTCTTGTGACCTAATCACTTCCAGAAGTCCCTGTCTCCCAGGGCTCAGGACTCACCACATGGATTTGGGGGCATAGAAACAGCTCTTGTTTAGGTAACAGGAGAATAATACTTTATGTGATTGGATAAAGTTCTATTTCCTTTCATTTTTTTCTTCTCTGGTTTTTGTTTTTGGTGGTAGGGTTCTTTATTAATGACTGAGAATCTTGCATTGTAGCTCAGCTACCTGGCACTGTTCATATTTCAGCCCCGGTCGGCCCTGACTGTGCAGTCCTGCCTCTCCCTCTCTAGTGCTGGGGTTATAGGCCTCTGCCCTTGCTGCTTCAGCTCATTTCCTGAAGGCAAAGGCTCTAATAAGATATTGCTAAGAAAAATCATCTCTAGGATTGCTGTTTTAGTTTAGGGTGACCAAGGATAACCTTAAGTTTTTGGTCCTCCTATCGCTCCTTGTTCTTTCCACTCAGCAGGGTCCCTGGAGGTTTCTCAGGTGATGATTTACTAGCAGCCCACACTTGTCCCTGGCTAGTGAGTGTTCTGGTGCATCAGTGCATCTGTTTGCCTCCTGACCTTAGGCTTGTCAGGCCTGACAACAGTGTTCAGTTTTGGGGGCAGAAGACATTCCACCTTACTGTTGGTTGTTCTGGAAGCTTTAGCTGTTAAGATAAGCTGTGCTTTATAGAAGTTCCTTGGGTCACAAACTTCTTGTGCTCCTTTACAAGTTTGCTGTACTTCAATGACAAAGTTACTTGGAAATGATATTTTCTTTCCTTTGGGGTTTCTTAGGCTGGATTCAGATGCCGAGGACACAGTACTTCCTCCGAAAGAAGACAGAGTTTGCAAAAGAGACAAGACAATAAGCACCTAAACTCTGCTCAGTCTCACAGAAGGGACATAAATTCTGACTCTTTATATTTTGAGGTAACTTTTTCAAATTTTATTTTTAAACCATTCTACAAAAAGGCTTCATAAGAAATTAATTAGGTATGTAATTATGTTATAAATAATGTTCGAGACTTAACATGTTACTCTGTCAGATTATAAATGACTTACTGTCTCGTTTTTGTCTTGATTGTATTTATGTAAGCTAACATTCCCTTTATTAATTTCTGTTTTGAGTGGTGTGTGGATTAGAAGCTGCTTTTGTCAGCACTGGGTATGTCAATTTTCAGATCTGAATAATTTAATCAAGATAATTTCTGCTCCCATTCAGGAGAATCTTGGAGAAAAAAAGAAAAACGGCTGTTTTCTTGGCTTTCCCAGCACATACATCCTAAGTCACTGTTTCTAGTGTTTGTTCAGCTAGCTAGCTTTTGTTCCAGCCGGGACTGTAACAGGAGGTACTGTGTGGTGGGAGGATACAGGTGTGAACATACCTTATACACAGTTTGCTGTGGTTGGACTAGAACACAGAACAAGCAACTTTGGGTGGATCTTAAAGAAGAAGTTTGTTGTTGTTCCAACCATTCTTGGTAATTCTTTTGTGCAGCTCACTTCAGTTAGAGCATAGATGTTTTATAAAGTGGATTGTTAGATGTGTATTAAACTGGAAGTCTTGACGTTAGAGGACAGGGATTAGTATGTTAACTAAGCTGAATGATGTCCCACAGTAGCTGAGTGTGTCTGACCTACTCTGCCAGGAACAGTTGCCACCCTTAACTGACAGGTACTCACTGACTTCATAAATAAAAAAGGTTCTAAGAAGCTTATATTAACATCAGTTAAAATCTGGAAACCATGAGCCAGGCATGGTGGTTTAAACCTGTAATCCTAGCTCTCCAGAGCTGAGAAGAAAGGATTGCCTTAAGCCACTTAGCATGCACTGTAGTGTGAGAACATGTCTCAAGAAAACAAAACAAACATGAGGAAATTTACATTCTTGGTAGAAAATATTAGAATAAATGATTTTCTGTTAATATTGAAAAGGACTGCAACTTTGGTAATAGTTTCTAGGAAGACAGCATCCCCCCCCCCCTTTTTTTCTTTTAAGTGACAGGGGGTCTCTGTGTAGCTTCCTGGCTGTTCTGGAAGTCTCTATGTAGACAAGGCTAGTCTTGCAATCACAGAGATCCACCTGCCTCTTCCTCCTGAGTGCTGGGACGAAAGTATGTGCCAATAACTGACACAGTTTAAATGAGGCTAGAACTCAGGGCTTTGTGCTTGCTGAGCTGGCATTCTGATGCTGACCTATCCCATCAGCCCCTGTTGTTTTCTGTTTACACAGGTGATTAAACTTGAAGTACTAGCTGGGTATATTGCTGTATGCCTGGAGGGAGACTTGAGTTGGGGCTTTGCTTGAATCCCTGGGTTCAATATCATGTTTGTTTGTTTCTTTGTTAGCTCTGTGTGTGGTTCCTATTTGTGGGCATGTGAATCCCTGGGTTCAATATCATGTTTGTTTGTTTCTTTGTTAGCTCTGTGTGTGGTTCCTATTTGTGGGCATGTAGAAGCCAGAAGACAGCCTTGTCCCTCAGATTCCGTCCACATTGATTTTTTTTTTTTTTTTTTTTTTTGTCAGAAGATTCCTCATTGGCTGAGAGCTCAGTGATAAAGCAAGGCAGACTGGCCCATGAGCCTCCTGGATCTGCCTGTCTTCACATCTCAGCACTGGGCTCTCTCAGTGCCTGCCACTGTGCAGCTATTTTTACTTAGGTTCTGGGGATCAAATCAGCTCCTCATGTTTGCAGAGTGAGCACTCTCCCAAGCAAGTCCCTCCCTGCCCCACTCTCAAGACCTCAACCTTCTCAGGAACGGGGCTTTGTACAAGGTTTTCATAAGTTCGGGTTAAGCAGTCTTTCTTTTCTTACTTGTGGATTTTATACAAGTTCAATATTTTTGGGACTGATAAACTATTACTTCTATTCCTTCCTTTTAACAAAAGTTCATTGTAATTTATTATAGGCACACTTGTATGATTGTTTCCACACAATCAAAAGAATATTGACTAAGAAATTAATTTGAATAAAAACATTGTAAAAGTATTTTAAACATTATTCTTCAAATTGTATGTAATAGGGAATAGAATACATTTTAAAAATGAATACTAAACTACTTAAAACCTCCAAATTATCTGAATGTGATAAATCTAGTTTGAATTCTTTTCAGTTACCTATATCCTGTCTTAGGATATAATTAGTATAAGAATGCAAAAGGGGTTTCAGAAATTTAAAGGACGTACGGATGTGATATGACTTCATACTTGAATCAAAAATAGGTTTAGCATGGGAGAAATAACATTTCCTTTTAAAGACTGATTTAGAATAGTTCAACAGTAGGATAAAATATACACTATTTTCCTACCTTTCAGAATGTCAAGCATAAAAGGTTTCTATGTTGGGTAGGTTGTTCATTGGTAGAGTAGTTACCTAGCATAAGTAAGGCTCTGGGTTTGATGTCCAGCAAACACATGTGTTCACATGTATGAGTGCACACACACACACACCACACATGCACACATGCATGCACCCCCACCTACATACACCAGGAACCCCCCCACATGCAGGCCTGCACACACCCATCCACACACACACATTCACATGTGTATGCATCCCACCCACACACCAAGCACACTCCCACATGTAGACATGCTCACATACACACACACACACACACATACACACATGTGCACGCATCCCCCACACATGCACTGAGCACATCCATACAAACATGTGTATGTATCCCCTACATACACCGAGCACACCCCCCACATGCAGGCATGCACACTTGCACACCCATACACACACACACCAAGCACACACCTCACACAGACATGCAGGCATGGACACACACACACACACACACACACACTCTTTTGTAGGGTTCTGAACATTTTCACTGACATCAGGCAAACTATTTCAGGATGAAGATGGGTTTCAAGAACTAAGTGAGAATGGAAATTCTAAAGATGAGAATATTCAACAGAAACTTCCTTCAAAAGTAGTAAGTAACTCCTTTCAAAATTATAAGAAAAATAGAACACCTTTTGAACTTAGCTATGTGGAAGGAAGTCTTGAGATTGGTGGGAAGGACACAGGACACATGGTGTGGGGGTTGTATGTTAGTGTTTACTCTCAGCACCTGAGAACCCTTACCGCAGTTGTACTCAAGTTTATGTGCATATATGGGTGGCTGGGAGCATGGCGTGCTTGAGGGAGATAGAGGACAACTTGTTCTCTCTGTCCATGGATGTCACAGGGAACCCAGGTTTTCAGTCTTGGCCATAGACTCCTGTACCCGCTGAGCCTTACTGTTTCTTTTCCTAAACAAAAGTAGTTTCTAGGAAATCTTCTGTTGTGTTTCTAAATGAGAAAACAGTAAGTACTGTCATACAGCATACAGCTTATATAGAAATTTCCCTCAGACAAGCACCACATTCTAAAATGGTCCTCCTCTCACCCTACTCTTTATGGCCCTTAGTCCTCTGAGCCTCCTGTCCTGCAGCACCTGCCTCAGTTGGCTTTGTCTTTCCTTATGGTTTGACCTCTGTGAGATGACTAACAGATATGTCTCTCTTGCTTCATAGTTGGATGACTTACCTGAAAACTCACCCATCAATATAGTTCAGACTCCAATTCCCATTACCACGTCAGTTCCCAAACGAGCCAAGAGTCAAAAGAAGAAAGCACTAGCTGCAGCCCTTGCCACAGCACAAGAATACTCCGAAATAAGTATGGAGCAGAAAAAATTGCAGGTATATAGTCACTTTATTCACAGTTGTGATTGTTTGCTGGGCTTGGTGGGATGGACAGGAATGTCAAATGTAATTACAATTTCTCATACTTTCCTAATCATAAAAAATGAATCATTTCTTATTCGCCTTTTAGGAAGCTTTATCAAAAGCAGCTGGAAAAAAGAATAAAACCCCTGTACAGCTAGATTTAGGGGACATGCTAGCTGCTCTGGAGAAGCAACAGCAAGCAATGAAAGCACGCCAGATCACCAACACCAGACCACTGCCGTACCCAGGTGATTCCTTAGTGTGGGGTATAGCTGTGTAATCTTTCTCTTTCTCCCTCTCTACTCTGCACTTGACTAGTCTCTCTCTCTCTCTCTCTCTCTCTCTCTCTCTCTCTCTCTGGTACAAGGAATATGGGTGTGCACACCTAGCATGCTTTCAGGAGTCTGTCTTCTTCCACCATGGCTTCTGAGGATCAGTTGAACTCAGGTCATCAGGCTTGTAGTACAGACACTTACCGCCTTCCCTGGCCCCATTTTTTGTTTTGTTTTTTCTTCAAAGGATAAAATTTAAAAAATCACAGGGTAATTTGGCTCTGTTAACTATGAAAGTATCCAATTAAATGACAAATTTTGATAGTTTAATATATGTAAATGAGACAGTGATCTGGCTTGCCACTGAAACTGTTTCTCTTGTAACCAACCTTGTCAGTTTTAGAGACTATTTGATCTCCCTCCTTTCCCTTTAGAGGGATAGGGATAGCAAAAACAAGGGAAGGGCATGAATTAAAAGGACTAATGGTGAGAAGCAGAATTTTCTGTCTGTTCTGTTCCCAGATTGTCCAGTTCCAAGAATATTGCTGAATAGGTAAAAAGATAGGAACGCGCTGTATCTGTGTGCAAGATGCTAACGTGTAGCTGCTCACCCATGTGGTGGAGACCTGTGCTTGAGCGACTCTTGGTAGAGGTGACATGAATGCATAGAGCTGCATGCTACTGAGCTGTGAAGAGTGGCAGTCGCCTCCCCCTGGATACGGCAGAGGAAGTGGCCTTTCAGCTCACAGCTGGGGTTCTAGTCAAACTGCTGAGCTTGGCCTCCTGCTCTTTGATTTGTTTCTTTAGATAGATATTTATCTTCCTGTACTTTAATTCCCTACATTAAAACAGAGCAGTGAAGATTCCTACTTCAAGGTTGTTTGGGGAATAAATGAGCTGATAGATATATACTACTTAGAAAACCTGTGTTATAATCACTCAGTGAACTAATGCACATTATTACAAAGAAGAGGTTATTAACCTGTGATTGTTGGAATTTTTGTTGTTGCTATTTCTGTTTTTGTTTTTTAAAATAAGACTGCCTTAGTTTCCCAAATGCTGGAACTACTGGTTTGAGCCACCATACCTAGCCATTTGTCATTTTAACTATTTTTTTTTTCTTTAGTTACTGAGAACTAAAGCTTGTCTAAGCAAGGGCCTGTGCTTGGCTAGACAAACACTACCATTAAACTGAATCTCTAATCACCATATTTTTTTCCATGTATTTTTTTTTTCAATGCTGGGGCTTGAACTGAAGGTCTTATGCATACCAGGCAAGTGTTCTTCCACTGACCTAAATCTCCATCTCTACAACTTTGGTTGATTTAATACATGTTAAGAGCTAGAGAGATGGCTCAGTGGTTAAGAACATTGACTGCTCTTCCAGAGGTTCTGAGTTCAGTTCTCAGCAACCACATGTTGGCTCAGAAACATCTATACTGGGATCTGATGCCCCTTTCTGGCATAAAGGCATACATGCAGGTAGAGCACTCATTTATTTTAAAAATGTTGTTAAACAGCTCAGAATATCTGTGCTTAGGATGTGCTGTCTGGAGCTGTTGGGGTTATGGAGATGGTGAGGATAGGCCCACTCAAGAAGCTCACAGCTGACTCAGTCGGCACTTGTTCTTGCTGCAGAGGACCTGGGTTTAGTTCCCAGCACTCAAGTGGCAACTCATAACCACTCATAACCGTAGATCCAGGGGATATAATGCGCTCTGACATAGACACCTAGCATCCACATGGTACACATCCATCCCTCCAGGCAAAGCATTTGTATACATAAGATAAATCTCCTTTTAAAAGTTTATAGCCCTGTGGGAGAGGAGACACACATGAATAACTGATCAACTGAAGTACCTCAGGAGAGATGCAGCGAGTTCTGTGAGCCTGTGTATGGGAGGGATTGATGGTATAGATGAAGAGAAATACTGATTAACAAGTGACTTCATGGAAGGTGGGGTTTGAATTGGGCTTTGGAGAATGGATAGGATTCCTAGCAGATAGAAACGAGACTCCTTTCAATCACCAATCTTTATTTGAGAGTATTGGGTACAAAGAAAGCTGTTGGGAAATTCAAGAAAAGAATGAGATTATGGGAGTGAAAAATTTGTAAGGAATTGATGGAGCAAGGAATAGCAGGATTTAGAGACAGGCCAAAGACAGCTCCAGGGTATTGCAGAGATGGCTTCATCATTCATCAGTAAAGTACGTGACGTGTGAGCATGAGGCCTGCATTTGGATCCATGGTACCATCTAAAGCCTGGCATGGACAGCAGTGCCTGTAGTCCCGGTCCTAGAGGCAGAGCCCGTAGAGCCCGCAGATCCCGGAAGCTCATTATCTAGCTAGTGTAGCTGAACTGGTGAGCTACAGGTTCCCTGGGAGACCATGTCTTAAAATCTCGGGACAAGAGTGATTGGGAACACATAGCACCAACATCTGGTCTTCACCTGTGGGCGTGCACACATGCGCAGGCGCACTCTCACCTACACAGCACCCTACCTGTGCTCTCTGGCTTAGTGGAGGGCTGCAAGGGTACCACAGTGACATGAGGAGAGTTGACAGTGGCTTTGAACTTGAAATGCTAGCAGTCGAGGCCCTGGAGACCCCGTTTGTCATGTGTTTATGCATGTGTAGTTTAGATTAGAAGTCAGTGCATTTAAAGTGAGGGGAAAGCCCGTGGAGTGACTGGATTTCAGGGACAGAAGGAAGAAGAGCCACACATATAAACATGAGTGAATGGTGTCCCAGGAAGAATTTTTGAAGATTGGAAAATTGTATTTGGCAACTGCAAATGGTTCTGTTGGATCCTTGGGGAGGGGCATTGAGACAGGTTTTTTCTATATAGTACTGACTGTCCTGGAACATGCACTGTAGACCAGGCTGGCCTCTTAACTCAGATCTGCCTTCTTCTGCCTTCTGAGTGCTGGGATTTAAAAAAGGTGTGCACCACCACTGTCTGGCTTCTATTGGGTCTTGACAGTAGTACTTAAAATACAGTGAATATGGCCAAAATCAGATGCTAGTAGTTTGGAAGAAAATGATATCAGAATGATGCCGAGACATCTAACTGGTAGAGATTGGGCAGTAAGAGTGCCTTAGGTTGAAGGCAAGCCAGTTGAGGTGTGTTTGCCTCCCAACCCCTCTTTTCTTTTAGATAGAAGGGGGGGGTGTGGATCAGAGAACACAGCTTGGGGGTGGAGGGAATGAGTATGAAAAGGATCAGCACAAGGTACTAGAGGAACTAAGGTGACATGGGCCGAGTTTGTTAGTGGGCCTTGGACAATTGTAAGGATATCTGCCCCCTCCTTTTGGATGTTTTTTGTAACTTGAGCAACGTCTTCTCAAGAAAGTGACAGGAATATTCTTTTAGAGTGAAGGGGTTGAGATTGGAGGCTTAGAAACGTTGAAAGATCAGGGTTAAAGACTGAGGGTATGAGCAGGGGTGTAGCCGGTGCTGAGTAGCACTGAGAGTGGGTGAGAGAATTTCCTTCCTGACTCTCAGCTAAAGAGGAGCGATAGACAGACTGCAGGAGTATATAAGGATGAGTAGCCGAGTCTGTAGGAGCGAGCACACCAAAGGTGGGCCAGTCTAACTGGGAGCAGCTGCAGAGAATGCGCACGCTTGGTTGCTGAAGTGGAGTTGAACTAACAGTACAGGCTTGCTTGAGACCTCTCGGTCAGCTGACTGCACTGACTTATTTCCTAATCTTAGGGAGGTTGAAGACTCGGGAAGAAGGTGTGTCTGAGGGACTCTGCTGAGCCTGATACTATGATGTCTTTTTTGTCCTGGGGAGACAGTGCTTGTGTTTTTGAAGATTTAATACTAGAAGTTGTCCCAGTGCGTGGATGTGGCTGCAGTAGTGAAGCTAATGTGTTCTTGTTTGTTTGCAGTCGCCACCGCAGCTGCTTTTCACACGAAAGACTCTGCCGCCAGAAAGCCTTTAACCAAAAGTCAGCCCTGCTTGCCGTCCTCTAGTTCTCTGGACATTACTTCCTCCAAAGCAAAGAAAGGAAAAGAGAAGGAAATTGCAAAGCTAAAACGACCCACAGCACTCAAAAAGGTAACCCCCAATCTAGAGATGTCTCTTTTATAGGATAATTAAGGGTTTACTTTTTATTTCTTTGCAAAATTAGTTGTGTTTTAGGAAGCAGATATTCTAATATATTCCTGTACACGGCTATGTGTGACTGGTTAATTCAGACCAGCATTGTATGGCAGTCGTCTTGTGTAAGAAGGTCCTACAAAGTGAAGGTTTCTATAAGGGTTAGAAAGTAAGCAGCCAAACATTTCATATCCCAAACACTAAGTCCTTAGGAATTAGAAGCTCAGATCTGTCCTCCCTTTGCATTTTTTTCTCTTAGGTGTATGTGTGGGCATGCATATGTTGGCATGCCTGTGTGGAGGCCTGCATGTAGAAGCCTAAGGTTCATGGCCGAGTTTTCTCAACTGTTCTTGACCCTGTTCTTTGAGGAATGGTATCTCAGTTGAACCCACAGCTCACCGATATGATGAGTTTGGCCAGCCAGCTTGCTTCAGGAACCACATCTCAGCCTCCTGGGCCCTGATTCTTGGGTGATCTGCCACACCCACCTGGCATTTTTGTGTATTCTGGAGATCTGAACTTCACTTGTAAGCGTGTGCAGCAAGCAGTTTAACCATTGAACCATCTCCACAGCCATGCCCCCCTTTCTCCTTCTCATCTCTTTTCAGTGCTGGAGGTCTGACCTGAGACCTAATATACCTGAGACAGGCACTCTGCCTCCAGCTTGCTAGCCCTACACCTTCTAGCCTCGGTGTTTGCTCTGTATGTAGGAGAGCAGCTTTAGGCCCACATTTTTACCTCCATCTTCCTTAGCTATAAATTGGTGATAATATCTGCTTTGGTCTAGTAGGGTCAGAGTGGGGCAATTCATTCCTGAATGGTTGAAAACTATAGAGTGTAAATCACATGAATTGTATGAGGTGGTTTCTAAACTTACAGTTAGTCACTGTTTGGGAAATCCTCCTTGGTCACCTAGGGTTTCAAGATTGAGGCAGTGTGGGGTGTTTGTTTTCTCCCAGCATCCTGCTTCCCTTTATTTGGAGATGGAAGCAGGTGAAGTGTGTCTGGCTGTGCACTCTTAGCACACTCTCCCTGTATTCTCTGTACAGCATCCCCTTCCATTTGCAGTTTGTAAAGTAACAGTCACATTTGTGCAGGTCAGATAATGCAGCCAACTAAAGCCCTCTTGGCCGTGCCATTGAAATAGTTCACACCTAGTTGAGGAGTGAGCAGTAACTGAGGAACTGTGCAATGGCTTTCAGGTTATTCTGAAAGAAAGAGAGGAGAAGAAGGGACGTCTGACTGTGGAACACAGCGTTTTGGGAGCCGAGGAGCCAACAGAAGCGCATTTGGACCTCACCAGTGACTTGCCTCAGGAGACTGTCTCCCAGGAAGGTGAGGACACCTCTCTCTGTCCTAACTGTCTGCAGTGTTGCCACTGAGAGGAAAGCCTCACTGGCTGAACACTGTATTTTATGTGCGTTGACTTACACGGTATCTTTTGAAGGCGGATGGCTGAGAGGGTGGACAGGTGTTACATAGCAGGTCGTTAACACTTTGGAGGCTGGAGCCATCATTTGTAGTAACATCTCAAACATTGGGATCTTCTGAGTGCCTGGGACTCCTGGGATTGTCATAAGAGTTCTTGTTCATCATCTTTTACGTAGGGAACACTATTTGCCAGTTGTTTTCTTTTTAGGAATGTTTTTCAGATTATTTTTTATTGATTCCTTTCTTGATTTGAGGGAATTAATATATAAGGTACAAGGAGCAGAGAACTACAAAGCAGAGAAAGATTGTATTCATGCCCAGCACATTCCAGCAGAGAGGTTCTATCTGGTACATTAAGTAGCCACACAGAGTTTTGCAGCAAGGTCAATCTGATTTGTGCAGAAATCAAGTAGGAGTTTTTCACTACTTTTCAAAAGGTGAATTTATTCCTAAGCATTATTTATCTAGGATGTGTTTGGTTGCGGTTTCCCTTTATTCTCAGTATGATTCCCCTAGATTTATGTGTGCCCATTCACCCATTCATCCCTCTGATTTTGACTAAATAACTACCAAACGTGCTCACTAAGTAGTGGAGGTAAGAGGCTGGAAAACAGAATGGTCAGGGGCTGATAATCCAGTAAACAGATAGGATTAATGTGTAACTTTGTTAATTATTAAACTGAATATACAAATGCACTTCCCGAGTTTACCTGTTGAAGAGAAGCAGTAACTTAGGAAGAAGCAGCAGAGTTGATAGTTTGCATCTAAGTGTGGCTGCCTAAGCACAGAAGCAAAGGCCAGATAAGTAGGTGGGGAAGAGGAGACTCAGGAGAGGCATCAGAATGGTGGGTAGGTGTGGGTGTAGAAAGTCAGGGGAGGGTGAACAGGTGTGGGTGTAGACAGGGTGAGCAGGTGTGGGTGTAGACAGTCAGGAGGGAGAGCAGGTGTGGGTGTAGAGATCAGGAGGGTGAGCAGATGTGGGTGTAGAGATCAGGAGACATGGAGTGACATAGGATTGTCCTTGCCACTACCACATAGAATTTGAAAGAAAGATTTAAGAAATAGGAGGCAAGATAGAGATGTGTAGAAACACTGCAGAAAGGTACAGATCTCTGTGAGTATGTGTCTTAGAAAATTTGCTTCCCCATCTCCTCTGTAGAAACTTCTAAGCTATGCTTGGTTTTTTTTTTTAGTATGAAGGTTTTACATACTTTATTCTGTTAGTTTGTAGGAAATAATAATTTGTGATAGGAAAATACCTAACTTACTATCTTCCAGAGAGTTAGGGTATGACCTGAGAAAATTCTGCCATCTAAATTGTCTGTGTCCGCCTGGAGCTTCTTAGCATTTGAAGTTGTCAGGTTCTTCCCTTCTACTTGCATCTCCACAGATACTGGACTGAGCATGCCCAGTGATGCTTCACTGTCTCCAGCAAGTCAGAACTCTCCGTACTGTATGACACCTGTGTCGCAAGGCTCTCCTGCCAGTTCCGGCATAGGCAGCCCAATGGCTTCCTCAACCATAACCAAAATCCACAGCAAGAGATTTCGAGAGTAAGTTTTTTTTTTTTCTTTTTCCCCCACTATTGCGGTCAAACAGTTGAAGAATCTTGGTTTTTCTGAATTCGTATTCTTGTTACCTGGTAAGTGGAGCAAGGTGGAATGCAGAGGTTGCTGCTCTTGTTTAACAGGGTTTGGGTCTGTTAAAGCAGTACTGCTGTCAGTATCCATGGTGTGGGGTTTCACAGTAATGCTTTTTTGTTTTTGTTTTTGTTTTTGTTTCGAGGCAGGATTTCTCTGTGGCTTTGGTTCCTGTCCTGGAACTAGCTCTGTAGACCAGGCTGGTCTCGACTCGCAGAGATCTGCCTGCCTCTGTCTCCCGAGTGCTGGGATTAAAGGCGTGCGCCACCATCGCCCGGCAGTAATGTTTTCTTTATCACATATGGCGTTTCTATCCCAGAATCCTGGCCTCTTACGTCAGATGTATATTGTGTATGTGTGTTATATATATGTGCATGTAGAATGTAATGTACCATGGGTTTTGCCCCTGCAGATGCTTTGAGTTTTTGTTTTTTTTGGTTATGTTTCGTCTATTTTTTGCATATAACACAGGTCCTTTAAAAAGCTCGCTAATCAGTTAATAACATATAATAGGGTTCTTTGTTCAAGACTGAATCTGTCACGTAAAGCCGTGCCATTTTGTTCTTGTTTGTTGTTCATTTTGTTGTGCTAGAGGTTGAATTCGGGGCCTCTTGCTTCCTGGTCAAGTGTTTGACCACAGAGCAACACAGTCAACTCCAGTACTTGCTTTTAAGCAAATATGTCTAGGTTTAAGAATTAGGATAATTAGGGAATCACTAAGCTAACTGCTGGGACATATTTTAGTATTTGTGTGGATGAAGTGGTTTTACTTTAAAAATGCCATAGGAAGGAATCCTAGAGTGAGAGTCAGTGTGGTCCAGCAGCCACTGCTCTGTTCTGCTTCCTCCTCAGCTCTAGTGTTGGAGCAGAAGCCTCTCTTCAGGCTCTGAGCAGCTAATTCTATGTCAGACAGCAGGTGTGGAGCAGATGAAACACTCACAGAGATCCACCTGCCTCTGCCTCCCGAGTGCTGGGATTAAAGGCGTGCGCCACCATCGCCCGGCTGGATGTTGAATTCTTTGAGTATATTTCTATCTTCTGAAATCCTGTCATACTTGCTTAGACATTTTGATGCAAAATGTGAAATTCCCTGGACATGTTTTCACTGTATGATGTAGACTACAGCCTCTGTAGGACATCGGATGGTCTACACGTAAAGTTGGATGACTTTCTCACCCTGGGGTTAAGTACACAGTGACCACACACTGTGATTTTGTGATAGAGCTGACATTTAAATGACCTCTGTTTGATTGTCTGCTAGATGTAAAAGCCTTTAAGGCCTCAGTTTACCTATTGAGTTCATCATCTGTAGTCATAGGCTTTTGGAACATCTAACCAAACTGATTTTTGTGACTGGAAGCAGACTTGCCCAGGATCAGAGGACGAAGGGTTTTGGGTTTCTTGGCATGTTTTCTAACATGTTCTCTGTTAGCAAAAGAAAGCAGTTTCAATAGATGGACTGTGAGGTCAGTGGGCTATGCAGTGACTGTCCACAGCCTTGAGTTTCTTTAATTTAGCACATAAAGGGGAGGGTTTCCTTACATAGGTATCACTGTGCTTTGTGCTCATTCATGCTCCCTCCCCAGTGCCTGCCGTATGCTGCTTCACTTTCTTGTCCCAAGCAGTCCTCTGCCTTCGCTGGGTGTGGTGGCACACATCTTTCGTCCCAGCACTCAGGAGGCAGAAGCAGGTGGATCTCTGAGTTTGAGGACAGCCAGGGCTACATAGTTGACCTGTCTTAAAAAACAAAAACAAATGTTGCATTACTTTCTGTTTTCCTCCCTTCTGTAAGATTTCTTCTGCCCTCTTTGATCATTTTCTACTTCATGCTTGTACTCAGGTGTACGCATATGCACATAAATCTAAATTCTACATGAAAAAAAGCATGCAATATTTCCTTGAGTCTTTGTTACTTTACTTAGCATAATGATTGCTAGTTCCATCTGTTTTCTTGCAAATGTCTTGATTTTATTTTTCTTGGCAGCTAACTAAAATTCCGGTATATATTAATAAATTTCTATCAATCTCATTTAGCCATTTATGTTGAAAAGCATTTAGGCTGTTTCCATTTCTTAATTATCGTGAATAGTATGGTGATAAGCATGGGTACACATTGATCTCTTTGCTCTGGTAACTTGGAATTCAGGTGTATCCCCAGGAGTGGTATAGCTGAGCCCTGTGGTGGCTCTGATTTCCGTGGTGCCCCAGTTTACCACCAGCAGTGTCAGGCTCTCCTCCCTGCAGGGATGAATGGTTACTGAGCTTCAGAGACCTCTAGTGCTTTTATGTCACAGTGACCTCTTAGCAAGCCAGCATTCAGTTTATACCTTTAGAAATTGAATAATTAGGAGTGCATTAGTATTTCCATGTGGCAGCCTGTCCTGGACTACAAGCTACTTTGTGGAAATTCAAAAGATAATCAGTATTACTGTTTTTCTGATTGATGTGTTGTAGAGACTGAGGACTTTATAAATATGCCGTGTTATATGTCAAAGATATTTTCCTGATATAAGTCTGTAATTACAGGAAAATAAATTAGGATGGAATTACCTGACTCTTTGCTTCCTTTCCAGATATTGTAATCAGGTTCTCTCTAAAGAAATTGATGAATGTGTGACTCTCCTTCTGCAAGAACTTGTCAGTTTCCAGGAGCGCATCTACCAGAAGGACCCCGTGAGAGCCAAAGCCAGGCGGCGGCTGGTCATGGGGCTGAGGGAGGTCACGAAGCACATGAAGCTGAACAAGATCAAGTGCGTCATCATTTCCCCGAACTGTGAGAAGATCCAGTCAAAGGGTGTGTGCATTTGTTCATTACCATTGCAGGGAATTTGAGCAAGCCTTGCCTCCGGGAGCCACATCTTTCTCTATAGTATAGTCATAGAATAAATGTTGAGCATGAGAAAACGAAATCTTCCAATACCTAAAATTAAGTAGGTGTAAGACAGGATTGTAAAGGGGATCTTTAGGTGTTAACAGTGGTTAAACATCTCTGTTAAGCCCACCAAGTGTCTCCTTCCTCTGGTCAGACTAGACCTAGTCAAGGTACAGTACTCTGAGTCTGTATATTCTTCTCTTGAAGCCAAGCAGTGGCGGCGCACACCTTTAAGCCTAGTACTGGGGAGGCAGAGGCAGGTGGATCTCTGTGAGTTCAAGGCCAGCCTGTCTACAAAGCAAGTTCCAGGACAGCTAGAGCTATACAGAAAAAGCCTATCTCAAAAATTAAATTAATTAATCAATTAAATAAAATAAAAACACTATAAAAAAAAGGTAAAGATCTCAGCTTCTGCTTATGATGATTTGTCTCCCAGAAACCAGTGGTTACATTGGTATCTTAGGGTTTTTATTGCTGTGATAACATATCATGGGCAAAATCAGCTTGGGGAGAAAAGGGTCTAGTTCATCATTCAGGGAAGTTAGTATAGGAACTCGGGGCAGCAAGCTAGAGACAGGTGCCGTTGCAGACACCATGAAGGAGTGCTGCTTACTGGCCCCCCATGGTTTCCTTAGCCTTTCTTTCTTTCCTCCCCATGCCCACACCCTGAGACAGGGTTTCTCTGTAGCTTTGGAGCCTGTCCTGGAACTAGCTCTGTAGACCAGGCTGGCCTCAAACTCACAGAGATCCACCTGCCTCTGCTTCCTGAGTGCTGGGACACCTGGCTAGCCTTGCTTTCTTATAGAACCCAGGACCACCAGCACAGGGGTGTCCTTGGGGTATCCCATCCACAATGCTCTGAGCCCTCCCACATGAATCACTAATTAATAAAGTGCACCATTGGCTTACCCATAGGCCAGTGTGTGGAGGCTCATGGCGGGCTGACATACCACTATCCAGTACTCATAGAAAGGCTCTTGGTAAGCTGGCACAGGAGCACATCACATGGTGTGCAGCCTTGTGTGACCAGAGAAAACACCTGCGCCGCCATGTTCTTCTGTCTCCCTAAATATGATCTCGTGTTACTGGGCTTAGAGACTGTGAAGGAAAGAAGACGATACTATTAACAGTGTCAACTAGTTTCTTCAAAAATGTTTGTTGCATTGAAACTGGATTCCTGCTATGCTATTAGATAGAGAAACTAAAGTACTGTGTTTGAAGGAATTTGGGATTTTATTTTGGAGAAAGACAAACATGTAAGGGGGGGGAGAGAGAGACAGAGACAGAGAGTCTGTTGTGTGTTACAGTTCAAGGAAGACCTTCCTTTGCTGCAGGATTCTGTTTTTAGCATGGTTAGCTCCAGCATGAAGGTGACTGAATGGACGCCTCTCCCCATGTTGATTTCCTTAGGTGGCCTAGATGAGGCCCTCTACAATGTCATAGCCATGGCCCGGGAACAGGAGATTCCTTTTGTGTTTGCCCTTGGAAGGAAAGCTTTGGGACGCTGCGTGAACAAGTTGGTTCCTGTTAGTGTCGTGGGAATCTTCAACTATTTTGGTGCTGAGGTAAGAAATTAGAGGAGACAGGCCCAGGGAGGTGACTTAGTAAATGACCTTCAGTCTGATCCTTGGAACCCACCTCAAGCCAGGCAAGGTGGTATGTACATGCTTGAACTCAAGCACTGGGGAGCCGAAGACAAGTGCATCTCTGCAGGCCAGTGAGAGGTCCTGTCTGGTAAACAAGGCAAGGAAGGCCCCTGAGGAGCAGCACCTGCCATTGGCCTGTAGTGTATCTGCACACACCTGCTCACCTCCCACACACACTTCCTATAGTGCATCCGCATACGCCTGCTCACCTTCCACACACACACACACTTCCTGTAGTGCATCCGCATACACCTGCTCACCTTCCACACACACACACACACACACACTTCCTGTAGTGCATCCGCATACACCTGCTCACCTCCCACACACACACACACTTTCTGTAGTGCATCCGCATACACCTGCTCACCTCCCCACACTTCCTGTAGTGCATCTGCATACACCTGCTCACCAGCCACACACACTTCCTGTAGTGCATCCACATACACCTGCTCACCTTCCACACACACACACACACACTTACTGTAGTGCATCCGCATACACCTGCTCACCTTCCACACACACACACACACTTCCTGTAGTGCATCCGCATACACCTGCTCACCTTCCACACACACACACACACTTCCTGTAGTGCATCCGCATACACCTGCTCACCTCCCACACACACACACACTTCCTGTAGTGCATCCGCATACACCTGCTCACCCCCCCCCACTTCCTGTAGTGCATCCGCACATACCCACTCACCCACACCCACACACACTTTAGAGGCCTATTCTCTTTCTCCTTCCTGTTAACACATTCCAGGAGTGAGTCATCCAAAGGAATGGACCAGAACTTCCTTCTTCAGTATTTTCTTTTCTTCCCTTTTCTGACTGTTTCTGTCTGTCCTGCTTATAATACCTGTTTCAATCTCAAAATCATAAAGCTTCATGCCTGTTCTCTTTTTACTGGTTTCATACAAATGTGTGGTTTGTTAGACACTACAAATAAAATTTGTCATTATTAGTGGTCCATGAAGGGACCGCTTTTAACCATTCTTCTTCCTCTGTAAAAGCAGTGTGTGTGTTTGACAGCTAGGTGCAGCATTGCCCCCTTAGCAGTCAGCACAGCTAGGAGCAGCATTCACTGTTTCTGGTCTCTGAGCAGCAGTGTGGCAGTAATGGCAGTGCCCCAGTGAGAGTAAAGAAAGCCTCTTGTACTTTCCACATTGTCTTACTTTTATATATAAACTTGAACATATATCAAGCCATGTTGAAATTCTCTGATGATACATGTTTATTTTCTTACTAACCAAGACATTAAAACATTTGCCAGGGGTACCAGGCAGGTAGTTGTGCATACCTTTAATCCCAGTACTTGGGAGGCAGAGGCAGTGGAGCTACAGAGTGAAAAAAAGCGCCACCCCTTCCCCTGAGCAGTCTCTGAATGATGCCGGGAAGTGCTAGGCTTTATCTCTGAGTTGAAGTGCAGCTTTGGTGCTCGTCAATATGGCCATTTTATTGACCATGAGGCTGCTCCATGTCCACTCCATTTCACTTCAGTTATTTCATTCATACTAATTTTTCTTCTATTGATGGAGGAAGTTTAGGTTAATCTATTTCCAGGCCCTGTATTCTGTTTTTATAGTTTGCCTTTGTTCTAATAATCATGCTTGCCTATTGTGTTATATTTTAACTATTGTCAAGTCCTAACCTTATCTATACAAACCAACTTCCTTTAGCCTCTTTTCAGTTCTTCCCACAATTGAGCGTTGCAGAAAGATTGTCTTTTTTATTTTTGTTTTTTGTTTGTTTGGGAAAGAACTCACTATAGAGTTCTGGCAAGCCTGGAATTCGCAGAACTCTACCTGCCTCCGCCAGGATTAAGGTATCTGTCATCACACCTAGCTAGAGGACTTTAGATTCCTTTGGAAACTGCCATCTTTTTCTTTTTTTTTGGGGGGGGGGGCGGTTCAAAACAGGGTTTCTCTGTAGTTTTAGAGCCTGTCCTGGAACTCTTGTAGACCAGCCTGGCTTCAAACTCACAGAGACCCGCCTGTCTCTGCCTCCCGAGTGCTGGGATTAAAGGTTAAAGGTGTGCCACCGCTGCCCCGGTGGAAACTGCCGTCTTCTGTACCCCTGAGCACCTCCCTACACATGCTCATTCCCTCACCTTCTAACCCAAGTAAGACTGCCACTGCCCCCAAGCTAGCCTGCGCTTCTCTGTGTCTCCCTTCACTGTTTCCCACGCTTAGCTAGTGAAAACTGCCTGTCCTTCCTTCTCAGAACTGTACCTGTTTTCAAGTTCTGTGCCAGATGATTCTTTGAATTCTTCAGTGAGGCCCACAATGAGAGATTCAGTGCCTTCTATAAAAGCTCCAGTGTTGTTAGTCCAGTGTTTGTTTTTAGAAACCTTGAGCCACTGTGCTCTTTTCCCTTTGAGTCATGCCCAAGTTTCCCTAAGAGAAGAGCTTACGTTCCGTTCTACTCTCTGTAGTGCAGACTAAAGGAGGGGCTGTTTGTGGAAACTTTTAAATGGATTGCATTTAGAGGCTTGTACTAGAATCAGTTGGCTCAGCCCTGTGAGGATTAGTAAGTCACGTCTGTTGCGTGCATTTCATAAGGTTCTGTGGTTTATGAACTGCCCAGAACTAAAAATGTAAAAAACTTCATAAAAAACCATGGTTAGTCACAGAGGAATCTCTGTCTTTTTAGAGCCTATTTAATAGATTAGTGGAGCTCACCGAGGAAGCCAGGAAGGCGTATAAAGACATGGTCGCAGCAACAGAGCAGGAGCAGGCAGAGGAAGCCCTGAAGAGCGTGAAGAGCGTGCCTCACCACATGGGCCACTCTCGGAACCCCTCTGCAGCCAGTGCCGTCTCCTTCTGCAGTGTCATCTCTGAACCTATTTCGGAAGTAAATGAAAAGGAATATGGTAAGGTGTCTCATAGCATTTTCAATGAAATAATTCAAGTGGTTAAAACTATCTATATTAAACCTTCCATTGTACTTGTTTGTTTTTATACTTATTTTTTTTTTTTGAAGTCTGACCTTGAACTCACTGTGTGGGTGAGGAAGACCTTGAACTTCAGACCAGCCTGTCTTTCTCGCCCAAGTGCTGAGATTACTGGCTACCACACACAGTTTATTTGACACTGGGAAGCAAGCCCAGGACTCCGTGCAAACTAAGCAAGAACTCCATCATCTGAGCCACATCTCCAGCCTATTTATTCTTATTCTTGATTATCAAGTTTGGCTTAAAAATTAGCTTAATAAAAGTTAAAAAATTTGGCTTAAACATTATTATTTAAAACAATATTTGGCTGGGCAAGGTAGCACACACCTCTAATCTCAGCTCTTGGGAGACAGAGACAGGACCGGCGTGGTGTATATAACAAGTTCCAGGACAACCAGGGCTATTGAGACTGCCCTTTAAGACCCTGGAATTCAATCACATTTTGTCTTAGTCAGTTGTTCCATTGCAATGAAGAGACACTGTGGCCATGGCAACTCATGAAGGGAAGCATTTAGGTGGGGCCTGCTTCAGTTTCAGAGGTTTAGTCCATTATCATCATAGTGGGGAGCATGGCAGCATGCAGGCAGGTGCTGGAGCAGTAGTTAGAACCAGATCCGTAGGCAGAGAAAGAGAGAGAGGTAGACAGATACACACACACACACACACACACACACACACACACACACACACACATACTGGGTCTGGTGTGTGCTTTTAAAACCTCAAAATCTTCCAACAGTTCTTCCAACAAAGCCTACCTCTCCTGAGGCTTCTAGCTGGGCAGTGGTGGCACATGCCTTTAATCTCAGCACTTGGGATGCCTTAGTTTTTATTTTTAACACTACTCAAGAAGTAATTAAATGCTGAACCTCTCTTTAGGAAAAAGAAAAGCCAATGAAAGGAAATGTAAATGTGACCTTAAGGCTTTTTTTCATAATGAAATATATATGAACTAATAACTTATTTTAATTTCTTAAAATTGTACTTATCATGTGTACATATTCATGATAGGATGCGGCACCGCGATGGATGCTACAGCATGTTCTGTGGTGGTCGGAGTACAGTTTAGTGGAGTCACTTTTCCATGGTTACCAGCCTTTAATAGCTGTTTTTAAGAATGTTATTTACTGCCAGGCAGAGGTGGTAGCAGGCGCCTTTAATCCTAGCACTTGGGAGGCAAATGCAGGCAGATGGCTGTGAGGTCGAGGCCAGCCTGGTCTACGGAGCAAACTTCAGGACAGCCAGGGCTGCACAGAGAAAGCCTGTCTCAGACCCACCTCCAAAATGTTATTTCCTGTGTGGCAGCCGCGAAGCGCAGATGTGGTGGAGTGAGGAAGGTGGAGGTCAGATAGGACAGTAAGTGCTTTTCAGTGGTCATGTAAAGTGGGGAGGGTCCAGTCGGGACTCTCCTAGGAAAGTCAGGAAGGAGGGCTCCTAGGATGGTCATCAGGACTTCCCCAGAGCATATGTGCTGAGACATAGCTTATCCTGGGACTGCTGGCACTGTGAGAGTTTAGTGATACTTGGGGGAGCTTGCACGGTGGGGGCAGGATGCAGTGGGACCACAAAGACAGGTAGGTACGATCAGATCCTGAGTGGCTCAGAGGTGCTAGCTAAGGAGTGTGAATCTTGTCTTAGGACACCAAAAGCCAATGAGAGAGCTAAAGGCAATTTGCAAAATAAGCTAGGAATGTACCGCAAATGAATGGAGAGATTAAGACCTGAGTTAAGACAGCAGTGACCATATTGTAGTTTTTGAGCTAGAAGTGACACAAAGTAATGAGTTCTGTGGGACAGAGGTATAGAATAAGGAAGAAAGATAGGGTAAGAGTTGTCAGTTGGTGTCTTGTGCTTTTATACTGTGAACGATTGTGTTACTAATGAGACTGCGCACATAGGCGGTAGACTGCATCCATAGGTAGGAGGGAGGGAGTGATCTGGCCTCTGCTGAAGCAGCTGGAGGGAAGAAAGGCTTCTCGTTTGTTTCCCCTTTCTGTATAAGCTGTGTCCTGACTGAAGTGTCCCAAATGCCGCCTGCATCAGTGTGTACAGTCTGTGGCTAATAAGTTAAATATAGGTTGTGTGTCGTTTTCTCTTTTCATTACATGATAGTAGTATTACTCCTATAAAACGCATTTACTGTAAGATAATTGGATATTTTTATTTAAAAATTAAGCCAACAGGAGTGTGAGACTGTGTTCACCCTAGAGTGCTAGTCTGTGAAGGTGGTTTGTTAATACTGTGTAAGCCAAGTGAGGTGTGTTTGAAGTCAGATTTTCCCAGACACGAGAAATGCATGGTTAGATTGGTTGTGTATAATGAAACATGTGACCCAAATCATAGGTGATATGCTTTTCCAAACCCTTGAGGTCAGAATTTTTGTTTTGCTAGATATCTTGGCTGTAATGCATGTGAGTTTGGGATCCTTGAAGTCAGCATAACTGTAGGGACACAAACCCCCAGAGACAGTGCACTGTTTTCATATGCAGCCTCTATGCGAGCACCAGTAGCTGTTAGCATGTAGCCTTCTACTTTCTGACACAGCGCTGCATTTTATCTCTTAGGTCTTCATTTGAATGCACGTTGTTTTGAACATTTTTATATTTTTATAGCATTTAAACTCATTTTCTCACTTAGTTGCTGAGCCAGCAAATTTTTATATGTTATTCTTACCCCTTATTTCGGTGTTTCAAATAAGTTCCATGATTCTGAAACAGTGTTTTTCATTCTCAAAAATGTGTTCCTGCTTGTAGAAACTAATTGGAGAAGCATGGTGGAGACTTCAGATGGCTTGGAAACATCAGAGAACGAGAAAGAGCTTCCCTCTAAGCAGGGCCCTTCTGAAAAGCCTAGTAAACTCGTGCTTGACACAACCCTTGTGAGGAAGCAGCCGCTACCAGCTGCAGGTAGCACTACCTCAGCGCCAAGCCAGGGGAAGCCCCTAAGTGACAAGGACGAGCTGAAGCCAGATGACCTGGAGTGGGCCTCCCAGCAGAGCACCGAGACAGGCTCCCTGGATGGCAGTTGCCGAGATCTTTTGAATTCCTCCATCACCAGCACCACCAGCACTCTTGTACCTGGCATGCTTGAAGAAGAGGATGATGAAGAAGAGGAAGAGGAGGAAGATTATACTCACGAACCCATATCAGTGGAAGTGCAACTCAATAGTAGAATTGAGTCCTGGGTCTCAGAGACCCAGAGGACTATGGAAACCCTTCAGCTCGGCAAGGCCCTTCCTGGCTCCGAGGAAGACAATGCAGAACAAAGTGGAGAGGAATCTGCAGAAGCACCTGAGGGCCTGGAATCAGGGGTGGATGGTGAGACCTGGACCCCTGACCAGCAGCCGAAGCCCAGCATTTCCATGAACAAAGAGCACTCTGACTCCAATTCTGCTCCCCCAAATCTGTAACTCAGGAAGTGTCAGCTGTCTCCAGCCGTGTCTGGCTGCAGCCATGTCCCTGACACTCCATCTCAGCGTTTTCCACTGTCCAGTTATTTACTGTGTTTTTAATTCCCAACAGACCTTTTATAGCTTCTACCTATTTTGTTACGATCTCTAGCTTCTCTCCTAACTAGTGTCCAAGTCTCTTTCTGAGAATTGTGGAGACAGTTCAGACTTGTTTCAACTTACTTTGTAATGAAAAATAATGATTAAAGAAAGAAGACCAAATTCTACAGAAAAAACAGCTAATGGCTGTTTAAGGTTATTTTACAAACTAAAGATTGAGATTATAAGGACCAGTGTTTGCTGATTCCATCTCCTTCAGGGTAATTTTTGTCTGTTGGAGTTGTGGAAGCTGCTTATGAAAAGTGCTGGAGGTAGATCAGGGACTTCAAGTCAAGGGCAGCAAGGCTGCTCAGCGCTATGCATTAAAAATGGGTGCAGATTTTACTTGGTCCACAGTGCTTGTTTCCGAAGCTGCTGGTCATTGTAACCCACAGAAGTCGGGATGGGCTGAAACAGCCTGCAGGAGTTAGGCAAGCACTGGAGTGTTACCACGATGGCCACCTTTGTAGAAAGGGATAGATGTTTGTAAGAGCAGACAGTCACCATGGTGCAGCTTGCCAGGTTCTGTCTAATTCTTGCCTCTTACCTCAGGAATGCTCTTGTACATAGTATGTAAAGTCAGGCAAACGCTGACAGGTGAACAGTATACAGGTTTGTATTAGCACAGCAATTCCCTGTGGACATCCAGAAGCAAGGCTGTCCTGCTGTGTTCTACTTCTTGCTTTTGCTTTAAGACCCTTGTGTCTTGAGACGTGGTTCTGTTTGCATATTCAAACAAATCCACTTTGTAAGTCGTTTCATCTTTTTTTAAAATGCACCTTCCTCATGGCAAGAATCACAGTTACAAGATGTCAGGGAAAGGCCTTTGGCACAGTTTGTGACTTGTTTGGATCAGGCTTGGACGAAGCTGTAGAAGAAAAGAGAAGGTTATTCTAATATGTGGATTCTTCAGATGATTTATCATATGCAGATTTATGCAGAAATTAATTTTATTCGTGGTTATCTATGTCCCTCTCTAGGAGTGGGGGGGGGGGGGATCTTAATGAGCTATTTTGTTTGCTGTCCAGCCATCACCTGAATTCCTTTGTCTTCCAAGTTTCTGTAAGATGGGAGAATCATACATCACCTGTCTTTTGTCTTCAACTCCTTTCCTTCAACCCCAGCTACCAGCACACAGACGGACACGAGCTTTCTCCACAGAGAGAAGCGGGCAGTAGCCAGGTGTATGCCCCTCCTCTGCTTATGCGGGGCAGGACTTTGTCTCCCGGAGGCAGAAGAGACAAGCTAAAGAAAGTCTTTGCTGAAATAATTGGGACCTGCTGTGAGAGTTCTGAGGCTTTATAATGCTGGCATTTAATGCTGGAGGGATGAAATTTTTGACTGATGGTATAGATTTGTAAATTGTAAAAGTTTAGGAGCATTGCTTTATAAAAAAAAAAAAAAGTCAACTTGATTAGTGTGCTAAAGGGGACAGTCTAAACTGCTGTCCAGTGTAGACTTTAGGCACTAATTATCTGATACTTCAGTTAGACGTAAGGAATGAAGCTGATACAGTGTGATGTACATGGGCGGATTCTTACTGTCTGCATATTTGGAAGCCTTAACATATGTAGAGAAATGATAGAGGTTTGGATGACTGACAGTCTTGAAAGTAGGTGTGACAGCTTCTCCTGCTTTTCATGACGTTGTTTCCTGTTGGGTGTCAGTGGTTCACATAGCTCTTGATCTGGAGGCTGTGGCTTTTCAGAGATTCCTTGTATTTGATTCTCTTCTGGGCGTGGATCATCATTTTAGAGTTTGACACTTGTACCAAAAGAGAAGTTGAGGAAGTCTTGACAATACCTGCAACTTCCTTCTGCCGCAGCTGTCAGACGTTCAGTGAGTGCCCTCTCAGAGGCAGTGGCTTTCCTGCCCCAAACCCAAGGGACCACAGGCATTACACAGGAAGCTGGTCACTGTAGAGGACAGCCCAGAGTTTATTAAAGGAAGTTCTGAGTACCCTTAAATATGTATCAGCGATGTCTTTATAATGTTTCCTTTGGGTAAATTTGGGGATGTTCGTGTATATTGAGTTCCAGGCTTTAGAGGGAGTATGAGAAATAGGAAAATCTTATTTTTGGAAGTAGGTATCATTCACTCTTTGAGACTTAGAAGATGAGTTTATCAGCACAAGAAATAAAAACTGATTTTTTCCTTAGTGTGTAGATGTAGTTTTACTGGCAATAATTAGTGTTAGATTTCTATCAGTACATGAATTACAGTATAAATTACACTCCCCTGGTTTGACTCCCTCTCTGGTAGGCTTGTTTGTTCTGAAGATTACTTCTCAAAGACAGATGTTCATAATAGCTTCGTTTTTTTGGTTTTAATCTTTGTAAATGATGTAATATAATTTCTTTTGACTAAACATGGAAAAATAACAAGTGTTATACATTGAAAAGTTTTTACAGGCTTTGACTGGGATCATTTTTGAAGAGACGGTATTTTATATGCTTCCAGTATTTGGAAAAGAATTAGTCAAAAGGAATTCAAATAATTTAAATATTGACAAATTAATATCCAAATAACATACTTGTGTGATTTTTTAATAACCTGGGGAAAATGGGATGTGGGAATTACAATGTGCAAAGAAAGAGCGATCTTTGCATTCATTTTTGACTCCTAACACAAAACTGCTAAATCGTAACACATTGTTACTTTAATATATGTATAAAGTATTACTGTTTGTAAAGCTGCTGTTTGCTTAAGAAATTATCATGTAAGTATTTTCTGTACATTGTGCCAACAGATTAGAACATTAATTTAATTTGCTGAAAGCTTATCTTTTTATTTAATTTTTTTCTGTGGAATATTTTATTTCAAACATCTTTCCTTCTTCCTTGTCCCTTCATTCTTTGTACACATCATAGATTCTGCAGAATCTAAAAACAGAACCCTGGTTAATGATAACATTTAAACTTTGTTGGCATATCACACCTTAAAAGTATTTGTATTGTTTTGTAATTTAATTTCTAAATATACCACCTGAATTTATAATTTAATGTCTTAATTGTAATGCTCTAATAAAAACTAGCAAAATTTAGTGGATTATACCAAAAGAGGACTTGTGTGTTTTCTTGTGAAGGATAAACATTATCCCACATTCAGAGGTGAGGAACAGCTGTTTGTACTAAGCACTAGCAGGGTCTTCTCTACTAACAAAGTAGTTATTGAAATGCATTTTGATATCAGTCCAGCTCCTTGATCTCCTCTGTGCAGGTTGATTTTTGAGGATTTTGCCTCCTTTGTCGCATGGCTTTGCCAGGATTCTCGTGGAGTAATAGCAGTCTCTGTGGAGGGGTCGACAGGATCTGTGGTACTCGCCTGTCTTCTGAGCAGACTGCCTGGTGTTGGATTCCTGTAGATCCCTCAGGGCTCACAGCAGCCCTATCGTGTTGGTACCAAGGCTGTGCTTTCCTTCCCAGGATAAACTAAAACTATTCAAGATCCTACAGCCAGTGAGTGGCAGGTCTGGAATTCAAATTCTAGCCACGGAATAATCATTTTGTACACTGTGAAGATATGTCTGTGCCTAGGTGCGTTTTGATTGGTTTAATAAAGAACTGAGTGGCCAATAGCCAGGCAGGAAGAGGTTAGGTGGCAGAGAGAGAAGAGGAGATGAATCTAGGCCTAGGACAGACTCCAGGGGAGACAGGAAGCAGGACATGCAGGAGGAGAGGTTAAAGTCATGAGCCACACGGCAGCACATGGACTAATAGAAATGGGTTAATTTAAGTTATAAGAGCTAGTTAGGAACAAGCCTAAGCTAAGGCTGAGCTTTCATAATTAATAATAAGTCTCTGTGTCATGATTTGGTGGCTGGTGGTTCAAGAAAGCCTGCTACACTTAATTGTGTCTTAGAGTGTCCAGGCATACACAGCACTTCCGGGGCAGCATGGACTTTGAGCAGTGAACTCTGCCCCCACGGAAACTGAGAAGCTGTAGAAGCTTGTTGCTTGGTTTTTCTTCAGATTGGCCAGAAGGTATGCGTAGCCCCTAATGACAGTTGAAAGCTGCCATGAAATGGGAAAGGGAGTTGTCTTAGGGTTTCTATTGCTGTGAAGAGATGCCATGACCATGACAACTCTTATAAAGGGAAACCTTTAATTGGGCCTGACAGTTTCAGAGGCTTAGTCCCTTATCATCATGGTGGGTCTTGGCAGTGTGCAGGCAGACATGGTGCTGGAGAGTAGCTAAGAGTTCTTCATCTTGATGTACAGAGAGCAGTTGTCACATGAAGCCGAGCTTGAGCAGGTAAGACCTCAAAGCCTACGTTCACAGTGACACACATTCTCCAACAAGGCCACACCTCTAATAATGCTGTTGCCTGTGGGCCGAGCGTTCACACATGAGAGTCTATGGGGGCCATACATACTCAAATCACAGAAGTATGTTAAACAACAGGTTTTCTGCCATGTACTTAGTTCCTACTCTGGCATGCTATAACTTAGAAACCGTGTTGTTTTATTTTAAGAGGGCGTTTAGACCACCTGTCGAGTAATGTCCTTTGAGGTTTCTAAACCATAGTAGTTCCAGACCACCCAAGAAAACAAATACCACCGCAAAGAAAATCACATGACACATTTGGTGGCTCTGTGTGTTTACACTATGCTGTAGTTCATTGGCTGTGTGATAGAATTCAGTCTAAATAACACGTGTGACAGTTACTGGATATATTAAGTTTGGTTGTATAAAAACCTTAGGCTGTTCCTCTCTATTCTTATAATGCAATGCCAAAATTGGTTCTCCATTAAATTCCTCTGTCTGTATTTTAATATCTCTGTGTTCTGTTTTATTAAGTTTTTCTAAGGCCTGTATCTTAGCACTCAGATTAACCAACTTTCTTATTGATAAGACAAAAATGATAAAGCTCACAATGTTTACAATGACATTACATAAATCCCATATAAATTAGATATCCTCTTATTTAATCATTCCATTTTCACACTGTCTAGCATATTATCATACACAGGCCCAAATCCTTCCGTTGTAATTGCTTTTTACATTAATGTAGGGAAAAAAAACCTTTTAGCTACTTCCTCCCTTTAAGCATTCCCAATTGTCTTACTAAATCTACCAGCCATGTTGATGAAGATGTAAGGCTTATTGCTACTGTGTAGAACAGTAACAGCCTGACTGGGTGTCAATGCAGCTAGCTAGTTTGACAGAGAAGGGGGTTCAGGGAGAGCCTGCCAGGGAAGAAAAAAGAAAACCAAGCCAGTCGGGCAGTGACTCTGACTGCATGTAGTTCTGGCCTATGCTGGCGGCTATAAAGTCACAGGTAAATGGCTTTTCTGTGAATTCGTACCCCAAACGTTGGGCACCAAAAGCAGCCAAGCCACTAGAGAGCTCTTACCTCTATGAAATCTTCAGACTGAATGAGAGTGAGTGCATGTCTTATCTCACCGTATATTCCTCTCTAGGGCCGGGATTCAAGGTGTGCATCCCCACTGCCTGGCCTCTGAGGCTAACTAGTGTGGCTGCTGGGGTTTAAGTTGTGTGCCACCACTGCCTGGCCTGTATGACTGACGAGCGTGACTGCTTTACACTCACCTTCAGGTAAGCTTTAGTTATCAAAAACACAAATGAATTATCACTACAGAGCCCCTACTCTCATGAGCCTGAGCCACAGTGTGATTCAATGGCACTTTCGTGTAAAACATGACAAGTTAGAGTGAACCCTTTTGCTGCTGCTTCTCCAACTGATTCTGAATATTCCATTTTGTTACCATGGCAACAGTCCTTAGCCCTTCTCTGCCATGCATAGCCTCCGTCTCAGGAAACCACTGCTTTTGCTCGTGTATAAGAAGCGGCTCATTCCTAAAGCTTGGTGTGACAGGGCAGCTCGCCCATCACATTCCAAGCCTGCTTCTGCTTCTCGTTCTTTGGCTATTTCTGCCACGTCCACAGTTAACTCCGCTGGAGTCCTTCAACGCCATCCGCATGGGCTGGAATCAGTGTTGACACATACCCTCTCCCGTGTCTCGTGGTTTTACACACGGCTGCTGGTGATTGCACCTGAATTCCTGCACACACTAGGCACACCCCCAGCCCATGACTTCCTGATAACATCTGGTCACTCCCAGAAGGCCTTTAAATTATTTCCCCCAGATCCTTCAGAGGAATTGCTATCTATGGCAGCTCTCGCCTTTCAAAAGGTATATTAGCTTTCTGTTGGTATAGTAAGATTATTTATATGTAAAGAGGAATTTGGTACTTCTCACCCTAGTTTGTTCTGTCCTGAGATGTCTCATTATGTTGCCGCCACTTCCTATACAGCAGTTTCCCAAACCTGGGGCTGCCACTCCCAGCCAGTTTGCCACAGCTTCTACCCCAGGTGCCATTTTTTGCCTTGTTCTTCCTTGCTCCAGAGACGACAGATTTTTCTGAGTATAATTGGAAGTTTCTTGTCTTGACCACCTATTCTCTGTGCCAGCAGCTGCTTCCAAATTACCACGCAGAGGCTTAATAATATTTATGAATTCTGGGCCAAATAGCCCAGGTTTATTACTAACTAGCCCTTACACTTTGTTAACCCTTATTTATGCTCTACCACGTGACAGTACCTTTATCAGCATGGCGCGTCCGTGCTCCCTCTGCATCTGGCCAGTGATTCCTGACTCCACCCGTTTCCTTCCCCACATCCTTAGTTTGGTTGCCCTGTCTATACCTCCTGCCTGGCTACTGGCCAATCAGCAGTTTATCAAACCAATTTGAGTGACAAATCCATACAGTGTACAAGAGGGTTATTCCACAGCACCTGATTCCCCATGAACCAACATCTGCACACCTCCCTAAGCTGTCCAGGATCATAGAATGGAGGAAAGTCAAGAGTCTTTCTCTGGGTTGGGCTTTGTCTTGCAGGAATTTGATTTTTTTGTCTAGACCACTACATGAGCCAGCCATCTGGATTATGTGCTCTGCTGTCATTTGTGTGCCCTCAACTGGTTCTTACAGGTTCTCCCATGAGCCTTCGAGTTCACTGCTTGGCCAGCTGCTACCAGAAGCCCAGCTTCCAGCCCGTCTTGGCCTTGGACATGACTTCTTCTCTGAGCTTCATCATCTTTAGCTTTTGATTGAAAGTGAGAAATATGTACTTTTTCCTTTAAGTTCAACACTTACAAACCATTGTATGGCTATTAATTTCAATACTGTTCTATCTTGGAGAATAGGGAGGCCTGAGGAGATAGAGAAAGACACCGGCTGATTGACAAAGCCGCCAGAACACTTACGGTATTTACTGATGTGCAGGTCTCTGTCTTACACAGGCACAGGTCCTGGGCACCTCTAAACAGTTCCGTAACACAGCACCACCAAATGTCACTGAGCCCAGAGCACCAGTGCAAACGTGATGATAATGAACACACTTAAAACATTGGTAGATTCCTGAAACAAAGACTCTGAGTGCTGAAGTGAGTGTATATTCCCAACAGGTGTGCTCAGCAGAGGGTCAGCACAAGCCTTCAAACTACATAAAGCATGGTGCTCATGAAGGGCGATAAAATGCGGAATGGGTGCAGCGGCTCAAGCTCCTGTCTCTCCATACCCTCTCACCTCGTCTTTCCCCTAGGACTGACTGACACGCCCACCGTTAATGACGATTAGACATCATCATGATAAGACAGGGGGCCACTTGTCCTCTTGTGTCTCTGTACAGCTGTCTGAGTTACTCAGTGTCAGGGAAGTCAGTGCACAGGTGTGGAAACATCTGGAGTCTTAGCCCTATATTTATATTTTTCTATATTTTTCTATTTTTTATATTTTTCTATCTATAATTTTCAGATAGTGGGACTTGGACTATTAGAGATGGGATGTATTAGTGAGTGTGGAAAGATGGCCCGCTGTAGGGTTGCAGAACTGACGCCCATTTGGGTGTGTGGGTGTGTGTTGGAGAGGGATCCATCATGCTCCTCGCAGCTCGGCATTCTGCTGCCAGCTACTGGGGTGACTTAGAGAATTCAGCCAAGGGCACTTTGCCCCCGTCGGCCATAAGTGTCAACATAGGTCTGGTCCAAGATACCCAATCTTGTGCCAGCTCCAGGA